GGCTATTTCAGCAAACTTCTCGACAAAACGACGGAAATAGGAGCACAGTCCCAGAAAACTTCGGACGTCCTTGGCTGAGCGGGGTGTGGGGAAGTCGCGAACTGCTCGGACTTTCGCAGGGTCTGGTTGAACGCCCGCAGCGTTAACAAGATGGCCGAGTACGCAGATTTGGCGTTGCCCAAAGCGGCATTTGGACCAGTTAAGTTGCAAGTTGGCACGTCGAAAAACATCAAGCACTGCGGACAGACGGGTAAGATGGTCGTCGAAAGTAGTCGAATAAACAATAACGTCGTCAAGATAGCAGAGGCAGATGGTCCACTTCATGCCTCGAAGGAGAGAGTCCATCATGCGCTCAAATGTCGCGGGGGCATTGCATAATCCAAAAGGCATCATCTTGAACTGATAAAGTCCATCAGGAGTCACGAAGGCCGTCTTCTCTCTGTCTTTGTCGTCCACAGCGATCTGCCAGTAGCCTGAGCGAAGGTCTATTGAAGAGAAATATTTGGCACCGTGCAAGCAATCGAGTGCATCATCTATGCGCGGTAGGGGATAGACATCTTTCTTGGTAATATGGTTGAGATGGCGGTAATCAACACAGAATCTCCCGCTATTGTCCTTCTTTTTAACAAGTACAACGGGTGAGGACCAGGGACTAAATGAGGGTTCGATTATGCCCTTATGAAGCATTTTATCGACTTCTCGCTGTATAATAGCACGCTCCGGGGCTGACGCACGGTAGGGTCGTCGGCGAATGGGTCGAGCGTCACCGGTGTCGATGCGATGGGTTACCACAGATGTCTGGCCCAAATTACGGTCGCCGAAGTCAAAGATGTCCTGATAAGAAGCAAGCACACGGCAGAAAGCAGAGACTTGTTCAGAGGTGAGCGTGTCAGATAGCATTGGCTTGAAAAGGTCAGAACAGGAACGTGACGAGAACGACGTTGTTGAAAAATCGGGTGGCGAATCGGTGGTTAGAGCCGAAACTGTGTGGTCGACCAGTGGTGTAAGATGCGCAAGTGACATGCCGCGAGAAATAACTTGCGCTGAGAGGCCGAAATTGAGGACGGGAAACGAAGTTCGGTTGTCCTTAACGGTAACCACCGTGTTGGGGAGTGCAACGTTGCGTGTCATGGCGACGTCAGAAATTGGTGCAGCAACATAATCACCATCGGGTACTGCAGGATATGGCGAGAGTTGGACTTGGACTGCGGCTTGCGGCGGAAGTCTAAGGAAATCGACAGAGCGCAGACGAGGTGGGCTGGTAGAGACGGTCTCCGAAAAGGATGGTAGTTCGAGCCGAAGAAGACCTTTGGAACAGTCAACGAGCGCAGCGTGTGAAGTCAGAAAGTCGAGTCCAAGGATGAGGTCATGAGGGCAATTTTCCAGTACAGCGAACACAACTGAAGTTTGATGCTCAGAAATTGTTAATCGCGCAGTGCACATTCCAAGCACAGCAGGAGTACTCCCATCCGCAGTACGAACGGTAGGTGCAATCGCAGGCGTCAGAACTTTTTGGAGGCGGCGGCGGAGGTCTGAGCTCATCACAGATATTTGTGCACCGGTATCAATAAGAGCAGTTATAGGTAAACCATCAACGAGAATTGTAAGGAGGTTGCACCGATGGTCGGGAGTAATCAGAGGATTTGCAGTCCGTGTCGTGTATGCAGCGTCACCTCCGGGGGCTGCACCGGCTAGTTTTCCGAGCGACGGTCGTAGGGAGACCGAGAACGGCGGGGTTGGGGCGAGCGGGACTGACGACGCACGGGCGATGGCGAGCGGCTGGTCCGACGTTCTGGATTATGCTCTGCACCTGTCTCAGCACGGTAGGACGGGGCATAAGGTGCACGTTCAGAGCGAGGCCGCCAGTCATAGAAGCTCGGTCGAGGTGATGAGGTCCAACGACTGCGGCAATGGCGAGCGATGTGTCCTATCCGATGGCACGTGAAACATATGGGCCGATCATCATGAGTGTGCCATTCAGCTGGGTTTCGTCGTGGCGCGAACGCGCGGTTCGGAGTGGCAGCCGCAACGACTGGAGCCGAGCTGGAAGTAGCAGGGGCATTTTGATGAGGTGGCGAAATGCCCATATTCGCGATCTCTTGGCGAACCACGGCCTGTATCATTGAAACAGCATCGAGGTTGTGTCCTGGCGCGCTGACGCTAGACATAGCGGGAGCCATAGCCTCGAGTTCCCGACGGACTATTCTGGTGACGTTTTCTGGCGCTGGTGGTTGGTGTAGTGTGGGCAAATCTTCACAAGAGGACGTAGCCGCCGTGTTGGGAAGGCGGTCAATTCGGTGAACTATGCGCCTACTTTTTGCCTGTTCGAAGCGACGACATGCTTCGATGACCGACTCCACCGTCGAGCAGTCCTTGCACAGGAGAAAATTGAAGGCGTCATCCGCAATTCCTTTCAGGATGTGTCCGACTTTGTCCTCGTCGAGCATGTCCTTGTCGACCTTGCGGCACAAAGCCAACACGTCCTGGATGTACGCGATGTACGGCCCTGTGGATGTCTGGGCACGAGTCGCAAGCTCTTTCTTTGCGGCCACTTGACGTCCGATGGGTTTCCCAAATAGATAGCGCAATTTCTGCTTACAGACGTCCCAGCTAGTCAACTCTTCTTGATGTGTCTCGTACCAGAGTTTTGCCGTGCCATGCAAGTAGAAGATGATGTTCGCCAACATAAGCGTCGGACCCCAATGGTTGCTGCTGCTGACGCGCTCATATTGAACCAGCCAGTCATCGACGTCTATGCCACTTGTGCCGTTGAATGGACCTGGGTCACGAGGTTGCACCACAACGATCGGCTGCGGGGCTGACGGATCTTGTTGACATTGAGTAGCCTGGTCAGTCATCGTGGTAGCTGCAATGCGCCGTCCCCTGCGAAGATCCAGCTCGTTGGGCTGTATAGCGAGTGGTACCCCGCACCTTCCACCAATGATGTTACGGGGAATAAAGTATACACTGTTGAGCAAATTCGTACTGGCGAATATACTGGCGAGCTAATGCGTACGACGCTGCTGCAGTCCGAGCACGTTCCCGTTCAGCACTTCGTCGTCGTCATCCTCAGGCATCTACTTAGCCCGTGACAATATTAGGAGCTTTTCTGCACTTCTGTCAGTATAAAACATTTGTCTCTTTAGTATGTGGCCAAGTGTTGTGTTCTAGTTCTGTAAGTCCGTAACCTTGCTGGAAACTATTGAACATGTGTATGTTCTTTAGAAGAGTAGAGGTTGGGGCCAGTTGGTGATGCATACTTGAAGAAATGAAGAGCAATGCATGGGACAACAAAAGAGTAGGCACACTTGACAAAATGCTTCGTCCTGCGTGTCTCTTGATTCTTTTGTTGTCCAGTTCGTTGTGGTTGATTTCTTGAAGTATCCGTATGTTAATCTGTTATTCGCTTGAGGTTGTGTCGCACCACGTTAGATGGAAATGTTGATTTTCGGAAATGACGACAATAAAACGAGGCCTAAGACATTTCGTCTTGGGTGCAATTCATTCTGTTGTTTTCTGGTGCATATTCTGCGTGGCTGCTGGGATTACGGTATGCATCATTGCAAAATGTTTGAATTGAAACGTGCGAAAAACGGCGTAGCACGAGCAATTGGCACATTAACAAAGAAAGCGTCGCGCACATCGCAGCATGCACAAATAGGTTAGTAAAAAAAAAGAAAAAATGCGCCCCACGCGTGTGACAACACACACACACACACACACAAAAAAAAAAACTGTGTGTGACAGAGAGGGCTAGGGGATGAGGCGCGCCTGGTAGTAGTTTTGCAATGACGACTCACACCGTATGTGCTACCATTAATGTGATTCGAAACTCTGAAGTCTCCCTCACTGGGGTCGCAAATTAATGCTGTGGCGGCTGTATTTTCAATGGAGGCGAAAATACTGTAGTCCCGTGTGCTCAGACTTGGGTGCTCAGATTCGGGTTAAAGAACCCCAGGTGGTCGAAATTTCCGGAGTCCTTCACTACGGCGTCTGTCATAATCGTAAAGTGGTTCTGGGACTTTAAAGCCCCCCATATCATCAGGGGTCGTAAATTAAGGGTTATTTGGCGCTGCGACCATAGAGTAACATAGTATGTTACTCTACGCTGCCACCGCTGACGTCATCAATTAGGCATCATATGAAAATTACATAGAGTAGCTGACCTCTAGCCTACCCCTCGTGAACCGGTGAACCGTTGAACTGAGCCGGTTCACTTAAATGAACTGAGCCGTTCCGAGCCGCTTTGCTGATATCTAGTCCTCACGTACCCTGCACTAAACCATAACTACTCAAGTTTGGCCAACGCTTGCATAATCTTGGCCACCATGGGCATTGTTAATCCGATGTATTTCAATCCAAAGCCAAATGCAGTCGATGCCGGATTCGTCATTTCTGCATGGATATTATCGACCATGACCTACTACACTCCTGACCTGCCCAGAGAGCACCTCTTCCAGCGCCCACGTTCTAGTTCATACCTTCTGCCGCTAGGGCCGTCACCTACGAGCGGCGTGGCGCTAGTCAGCACCTGTTCGTTGACGTCACCTTCAGTGTTCGTGGTCATATTTCGGCCAACAGAGCACTCATATTGCATAATTATTATGCACTAATGAAAAATAATCTGGAAACAAATATTTCAAAAGTCATTCAGAAATTCTTTGCAATTAAATGGACGCAACATCACATATGCTGTCCTACACTATGTAAGTCTACGGGTTCTCACATTTGTCCACCAGTGTGCAATAAATTTTTCGTCACACTGAACAGCTTACTTGACCAGTCATCTAAGTGAAAAAATAGTCACATATATGCCGGCTGTTCATCACGGAATGCAGCCGTTCTTACTCTAGCGCCGTCCAAACAGCCGTAAAGTAGCAGACGAACAGGTTATAGGTAGCGCCACCTACGGCGAGCGATTGAACGAGAGCGGGGACACGCGCTCCCATAGGAACCCCGCTATCTGAACAGGTCAGGAGTGTAGTAGGTCATGTTATCGACATCACGGGTGTGGGGGGCGTGCTGGCTAAGGGGGCACATTTGGCTGATGTTTTTGCGTGTATGCGTTCAAGACAGCAAGCTTAAATGCCACAATGTACGAGGCCTACACTGCTTTCCCAATCATCAAGAAGATGCCATTGAAGGTTGAGTCCGTAGCTGCGCACGGAGACAAGCTGTATTTGGGGACGAAGGACGGTCACCTACTTGTTTACACCGTTGTCGTGAAAGATAGCGCCGACGGTCCGAAGTTCGCTGTCAATCTGGATTTTTCCAACAAAGTTTTCGCCAAGAAGCCGATCACCCAACTTTGCGACATTCCCGAGCTGAACTTGCTCATTAGCTTGTCTGACGGCTCCCTGAGTGTGCATCATCTCAGCCTCGAGCCTAACACACCACCCATCGACTGCCCAGCTTTGGCCAAGTGTAAAGGATGCACATTGTTTGCTGTCAATGTACAGGAGAAGACAACGCTTACGGGTGAAGTCAAAATAACTCTCATGTTGTGCGCGGCTGTGAAGCGCAAGCTTGAACTGTTTTACTGGAAAAACAATACCTTCTGCGAGCACCCGCAAGGCCTGTGCGTTCCCGACACTCCGCGATCTATTGTGTGGTGTGGTGACGAATCTCTTCTCGTAGGGTTTAGATCCGAATACAATATCCTAAAGCTGTGTGGGGAGACGAAACAACTTTTTCCTACAGGAAAGCAACCGGAACCGCTCTGTGTGAAGCTAAAAGAAAATAGCTTTGCTCTCAGTAGAGATGACATGACTATCTTCGTAAATCGCGAAGGTCAGCCAACGCACAAGTATGCAGTTACTTGGTCAGAACCGCCGATTTCTCTCTGTTATGACCACCCGTATCTCTTAAGTGCACAGTCGTTCGGTGTCGAGGTGCGGACAGTGGAACCGCGAGCTCTAATTCAGAAGGTAAACTTCCTGAAACCGAAACTTCTCCGGCTGTGCAAGAAAGGCCAGCTGTACGTTATAGCGCCAAGTGGTGCAGTCTGGTGCGTTCTGCGGACTCGCGTGCAGGACCAAATTCCGCAAGTTCTTAAGGACAAGTGCTTTGAACTGGCTTTGAAGCTAGCTGATCTGTCCGACCAGACTGAAGAGGAACGCAATGCAAGCAAGCGCCACATCCAGAACCTGCATGCTTTCGACCTTTTCTGTAAGAAAAAATTTGAAGAGTCCCTGAACATCTTTATGGATCTTGAAACTGATCCATCACATGTCATAGGCCTTTTCCCAGATCTTTTGCCTGAGGACTATCGTAATTCTATCTCGTACCCTGATAAGGCACCGGATCTCAGAGATAGTGATCTGGAGGCTGGTCTTTATGCACTTGTAGACTACTTGGTTCATGTCAGATGCAAATTGCTTTCATACAACCAACAGGAGCCGGCTCTTACTGGCATAGTGCAAGGCAGCAAGACAGTAAAAAGCAAGAAGCAGCTGCTACAGATTATTGACACCACAATGCTCAAGTGCTACCTTGAAACCAACGTGGCATTAGTAGCCTCGCTGCTACGCCTCCCAGACAACTTCTGTCATCTGGACGAGTGTGAGCGCGCCCTCAAGAAGCATCAAAAACTTAGTGAGCTCATCATATTGTACCAGCAGAAGAACCAGCATGAAAAGGCACTTGATTTGCTCATGAGAGAGGCACACAAGGCAGACTCACCCCTGAAAGGCCATGAAAGGACTGTTGGCTACCTCCAGCACTTGGGCAGAAAGCACATGGAGCTCATACTGCGTTACTCATTATGGGTGCTTGAAGAGCACCCGGAGGAAGGTCTCAAGATTTTCGTTGAAGATCAGCAAGAGAAAGAAGGTGAAGCCTTGCCGCGAGATATAGTGCTCGACTTCTTGTCCAAAAAAGCACCACACCTAGTTATACCTTACCTTAAACACGTCATCCATAAATGGAATGATGATACTGAAATGTTTCACAACACACTCATTCACAAATACATTGAATCTGTGCGGTCTTTGCTTTCTCAGCAACATTCTCTTGTTGGTCCTGGTGAGCCAGGCTCAGTGGGAAAACTGCGTAAAGAATTGGTACATTTTTTGGATGCCTCTGACAGGTACACAGCTGAAAACTTTCCCACACACTTGTTAAGCGATGGGCTGTTTGAAGAGGCAGCTGTCGTGATGGGCAAGCTTGGACGACATAGTGAAGCCCTTGAGGTCTACATATATGTATTAAGGGACCCATCCAAGGCAGAGCAGTATTGTGCATCACAATACAGCCGCAATCCTGAGCGCAATCGAGACGTATTCCTTATACTGCTTCAGATGTACTTGCAGGCTCCTGATGAAGGTTCCAGGGTTCTGGATCTGTGTAGACGTACTGTAGCTAACATTGCAGGGTTGCCGTCTCCCTTAACAATTCCCAAAAGCTGTCGTGAACAAAACTTGAAAGGTGCGCTCAAAATATTAATGGATCACGTGAAAGAAATTGACCCATTGCGTGCCCTCCAAATGATACCTGGGAATGTGCAGGTGGAAGACGTTCGAGATTTTCTCCGAGAGGTGTTAGATGGTTGCACCAAAGAGCTGCATGCGGCTGGTCTGCAGAGGTCACTGCTGTTTGCCGAGCACTTGCAGGTCAAAGAGCGTTGCATACGTGTCAAGTCGCTGAAGATAACGCTAACGGAGCTTGATGTTTGCTATGTGTGTCAAAAGAGGATAGGAAGCAGTGCCTTTGCCAGGTATCCAGATGGTGCAGTAGTTCATTACTCTTGCCGAGAAGGGTATGAGTCAAGGTTGGCATCATGAGGCACTGCCTTAGTGATTAGTCATAGTTGCTCCTAGACCAAGTTTTTAGCATTCGTCAGTGCCCTGTGCCTACAGTTTCTGTGGGAAGTTATGCACTAGTATGTTGTGGTGCTTGTGCGGACTTGTAAAACATGCACAAGCTTGGGAGTGAATGTTTCTGTGATATTTCATGCCTTCTCTGTAATCCTGTGCAAATGTGCCAGTATGGGCCTTGCTACATTTTCATGCTCTATGTAAAACTTGTGTATGGGAACTACAAGGTGCTCAATGTGAACTTTTGTAGAGGCACAAAAGCTCCTGTATGTATTTTAGTTGATAGCTAAAATGACAAGTTTGCCATGGTTAGTTTTGTTTTATGAGCAGTAGCTAGACTTGACTGAAATGAATAAAATAGAATTACATTGTTGTTTTACGAAAATAGACATGTGCTCATTCACTGTCATTTGTATTAAGGACTTTCTGAAAAGTGTCTTGCCTAAACATAGTGCAATAACAATCATGCAGTGAAGATAACCTTGTTTTATAGCAGAGAATCCAAATAGTTGTAAAGTTTTTGCATGTTAATACAGTTGAAAGAAGGAAATGCTGTGCGAGTGTGACTAACATAAAAATTATGTATCCTAGCACAGACATCTGCTTCATGCCATTTTCAAGCACCAAGCAGATGCGTACTCTTCATGTGATGACAAATTATTTCAACATGAAGTAATGTTCAGTGACTTATTTAGCCTGTTTTGACATATGTATTTTGTTGCATCAAACATTTCCAGGAAGTCTGATTATGTAAGCTTTTTTTTTTTTTAATTCATTTCTCATACATTAAATAGGTGACAGGTGAGAATGAAATGTAGAATAATTTCAGCCAATGATGACAGTGAAAATAGAAAATTAATCCAATGATTGCATAACATGGACCCTACTCTGTACAGACAGCTTAAAAAGCCAGATGACCTGTAATGCCCTGTCAAAGAATTTTGTTCATAGTAAAAAAAGTGCTATGCTTAAATTTATATACCTCTCGCAGCTGCATAGTTTTGTACACTGTACTTTACAAAGTTAGTTTCAGAAAAAAGATGGTGTTGCTTGTACTTGTGTTACTTCTGAGGATGTGATCCTGGTGCAATTTAGGTGTTGGAAACCCTTTTTTATGCTATTTATCAATCCCTCTGGTGTGAACCAGTGGTGCTGCAGTGAATAGTAAATGCTTGCATAGCATGCACTACCTTGTTATGTATGATAATGAGCTCAAATGATAATGTAAGGTAGTGGAAAAGGATAAACATAATTATATTTATTTTGTGAGCCTCCATGGCATTCCTTATAGCCTTCTGCCACAGTGTTAAAATGTGAAGTTGCTTTCATACATACAAAACACTTGAGCTAACTGTTCACTGCAAGTGTTCTCTTCTTTGACATATGATGTTGCTATTGCAGGCTTAAGTACAGAACATGACATATATTGCAGAGGTTTTCAAAGGAACCTGCTTTTTCTGTTCACTGGAGGGCCATTTTATTGCACTCAACTAAACTTGGAATTTTTCCGCATGTTACATTAAAATGAATGGGCATGAAAGCGAATGGGTACTGTCATTTTATTGGCAGTCTTGCTGGAATGAGAAATTCCAGTGGCTGTGGTTGGATGGAAGTGAAGCCTTGTGCTAATTTATTCATCGTTAATAGTTGCGTAGAATGCCATATTTTAAGTTGGAGTTTGTGTGGTAGTTCTCACCCAAAATTTGTGACAGCTAGGTGGTGTTATGTCGTTCTTAAAATGCTTTGCTCTAGTGGAGTTTTAATGAACAAAAATCACTGGCAGTCACAGTTATAATTTTTGCTATTGACTGCAATGCTACATGTCTTTTATAGATCAAAGAGCAGTAAATACAAGTATTTTGTTGTATGATTAAGTTTCTGTAGTGCATTAAAGAGACAGTAAATAAGTTTAGCTGTATTAGTAGATGATGCTTTTACAATACAGAAGAGGCCACACTTACCCTAAGAGGTGGCTTATTGCAAAAGAGTGGCTACTTGGGCTGGTTGCTATTGCATTTTTGAAAGAAATATACTTCCTTAGTGCGCAAGGAACGTTTTCAGAAGGAAGAGCAGAATATAAGTGTGCGCTCTGTCCTATCTCTCTGCTCTTTCTTCTTTCTGAAACGTTCCCTCAGGAAGTATATTTCTTTCAAAAAAGGTGGCTTATTGCCGCAGTGGTGCCTTCTTAGATTTAACTTAAAATTTTTTTATTGGAGCGATGTACTACATCACGTTGAAGCCGCCACGAAACCGAGCTAACAGATAACGTTTACTGCACCACAATGGCCAAAATGAGAAAAAAAAACATTGAAACCAATAATATCATGCATACCTGCTGGCACAAATTCAGAAAATAATGTTTAGGCATTATGACTCAGCCCGCTGCCATAAAAGTAAACTGCAGAAAGAATACTTTATCATGGTAAAATGATTTTCTATTTTTCTTGAGCATTATTTTGAAGCCTGAATTCAAGCAAGCTTTCCAGGAAAAAGCGACGGCACCTACTCCAGTGGGGCTTGCTTTGCAGGGGCACAAAAGGAAAGAAAAGAAAGCACATGTGGGGCTGGACCATCCATTTACTTAATTCAGTTTTATTGTCGTAACTACCATTGGTTCTTTTCATGCTTAGTCGGAGAATAGGCTCAAATCATACCGCTCTTGGAAATTCTTTCTACACCGAGCCATAAAATGAAATGTGAAAGAAAAAAACTAATACCCGCCATTTTTATGAAAAATTCATATGGATATTCTTGTGGCTTTGGCTACAGGGGGGGGGGGGGGGGCAGATGACTTATTTTCTTTCGTGAATCTTCCACAGAACTCCTTTGCCATAATGAAATCTCCTCTAAAATGACCATTGCTGCTATCAAACTGATACTAACAGCTGATTAAAATCAAGTGAACGCTGCTTAAAGTATTTAGAATGACTGCTTTCTGGCATTTGGGCTTGTTGGCACTCTCATGATGCCAGATTGCAAAATGTATATCTTTATACGCAAAACATGGCAGTCCTGATGGCCTCGAGAAGCGATATTAAATTGTTTTAGCATAGATTTTTGTTTACGCAGTCTCATCAAAGAACCCACGCTTTAAAAAGCTAATAAGTTTCCTTACAGTCCTAGTGTCGGCAAAAACTGCCTAAATAATTTTTGCTCATCATTGGTGGCCAGACTAGGTAAAACAAGGTTGGTGCTTTGCCGACTATACATTCGTTTCAGATATGGTACTTGCAACAAAGCAGCCATAGAGCTTGCCAGGTTTCTCTTGTTGATGGAATGATTGGTGGAATAACCCAGCCCATGATGCAGTTTGAAATGGTCGTGTTCAAGTAGAGCAAGAATTCCTGCAAGACAAGTTCGAGTTCTTCTTTAAGATAAAATTTACAAAGGGCTAACCCTGAACAAAGCATTCATGATGCTCTCCATCTCTTGCAAGTTGGTGTAGATACAATGTGTACTAGTTGAAAAGCCAACAGAATTTCGCGAGGATGCTGCCACAGTGGCGTCACTGGTTTGTACGAGACTGATTTGTAGATATCTTCGTGACTTGCACAAATAGCTAGTATGTACTCTGTGGGAAATGCCTGAAGCGAAAATTCAAAGCTGTGAGGAATTGTGTCTTATCTCGTCCACTAAGTGAGATTACCTGTTACCCTCGTTTACAAACCTCTGGAATTAATATTCTCTTGCCGAAGGCATGGTACTGCCTTTGTTTTGCAAGCCTTTGTTACTGCCTTTGTTAGCACTGTAAACAAAGGCACTGCCTTCGTTTACAGCGCTAAGACATATACGCCACAAGCTGTAAAATGAAGGGCTATATGAAATTAATGCGAGTAATAAGGTGTGTAAGCCTAATAGTGTTTGCTAATAGAAAAAAAAAACGTGCTAAGCAAGCAGTTTCTACTGTGAGCACACTTCCTGCAACATAACAACTGCTGAGTGTTTATGGGTCATGAGAATACATTACATCAATTTATTATTGCTTATAACTATGGCTGCAGTTTTGGCCAGTCAACTGACTGCATTACGTTAAATGACTACTGGAAGACTAATTCTTGCTTGTGACATTTGCAGTTGCACTAGTAGGTCCATGTCTCATGAGCATGAAGAGTCGAATCGTTCGTGCTCTGACATAGCATACAGTGAATGTTTGTGTCATTATGATCAATTTTAGCTTTGCTTAAAAATGCCCTCCTAAGTTCATTAGAGATGGCGTTACACAGCAGTGGAGCACCATCAGATTACATGGGCTCAAGCTTTGGTGACATTTAATCTTTTCAGAATTAAGGTCCTGTGGATGGGAAAAAATAAAATGACACTCTTGCCAAATTTTTTGCTTACAATAATACAATGACAATCATAAAACGACATAAGAGAGAGACACCCACCTAGCAAGTCGCCACATCGCAGTTAAGTGTCTACCTCCTCCGACAAAAATTCTTAGCTATGCCATTTAGATGCCTCTACCGCAAGCAGCCAGAACCACCCTAAGAGCAGCCTAACAACAGGGCGAAGGGAGGCAAACGTTGAAGCCTCCTGCGTGCACCACGAAACTTGACTGTGGCGCCAGAAATGCTCGTGGAAACATTTATAAGCCACCTAACACATCACATTAGTGACAATGTTGTGAGGGGCTAAAAAAAACTGATGATCACTTGCACTTACTTTAAAAGCCCATCAAATTATGTTCAGGGCTATATTTGCTACTGGTACTTGGTCAAATGTACCCACGTAAGCTGGAGAGTGCATTAACAACATGAACAGTTCAAGTTTTAAACTTTGGTGCCAGTGGTCCTCACGTATTCAGCTATTACAGCAACACCTTAATCTGTAATCATTACATCCTTGCATGCACAGCCTTTAAATCTCTGTAGGTTGCATTTTTAAACTCCTGAAATGTTAGCAGAGCTTGAAATTTTGTCTACTTTTGACACAAGTGGCCTTGGACTAATGCTTTCACAAATAATGCCAAGCTTAAAAAATTGCGGAATAGTTTTGCTGAACACATTTATGCAATTTCAACACATGCTTCACTTCAGACTAGAGTCAACCTCGTTTCACTCCCCGATATTGTTTTTTTAAAGTGAAGATCGCTGAAATTTGTTTACCACAGCTACATGAATTAAAAAATGATGGCGAACGATTCATCAATCATGGCACAAAACCTTTGAGCATAGCTGCACATTAAGCAAACTATAACTTGTTAGCCTTGCAAACTATGCTAAGTGTACAATCTATCGCAAAAGTTTTTAGGCTAACAGGCCATTGGCCATAGCATAAAAGCATGCAGGTCTACAGGTGCTTCAATATCTGTATGATCAGAGTAGACTAGTGCAAGTGAGCATACCACTGCCAAAACTTTGTTAGGCGCTGATAACTTTCGCAGCAGATGATGCACAGGTACATGCTCAGGCCGCTTTATACGGTTGGATATCAAAGTACTTCAGTGCTTTCAGTCGCAATGTTAAACTAACCAACTTGCCACACTTACTGGCATGGGTATGTTTGTATATATGTATTTTTTTTTGCTATGCAGACCATTGATTTCTATATATGAATGTGCTGGTCCTAAACATGGTTTACCTAAGCATGCTGCACACATGAATATGTTGACAAACAGGCAATCGGTATTTGAACCTGGCAAACTACATGTAGCTATTTTGTTGGCATGTGTGGCTCAGAATGTATTTTGTGGACCTTCCATGAAACATTCCACTAAGTAGCACATTGTCTAAAATACCACTAGATTAAAGTGCTCCATTTCTGCTTTTTCAAATAAATACAAGAGGTTCAAAAAGCAGTGGACCAAGTCTTTAGTGCTGTGTATCTTACTTTGTACATTGTGCTTCTTTATATAGATACGAGAGCTTTGAATGTTAAAAAACCAAAGTGTATAGATATATAACTAGCTCACATCGTTATTTACCACAAAGCATGCTTCCTGCACATTTGTGTTGTGTGCAAATGTTAAAAGATTACATGAAATATAAACTGACAATACTGTTTGTTAAAAAGTGCCATGCGATATAACTTTTTTTCGTTTACACCATAGCTCTCATGTCTAAAATGTGACAACTGCAGGATCCTTATTAGAAACACCAGCATGAATAGAGGCCTTAGTTTTGCTAAAAGTGTGACCCAAATCAATATCACGGCTACAATAGATCATAGGTACCATCTTCACATAGCAAATACAGATATCTAAGGCCATGCTCATTCTCATGGCAGAAACTGGACACGTCATAGGTGCTGCTTGCGCCACTTGTGTGGCTAGCCTCACGGTCAAGCCGGACTAAGCTGCAAAGCCATTCAGCTGGCTCAGAATACAGAACTCGGCACTGGAATGTAACAGCAGAGTTCCACTGCACCACACCGTGTCGCAGTCGTACAACTAAAATAGCAATCTTGTGTGTGTCTATGTAGTGATGAAAAGACGGGAAAGCACAGTTTTGTCCGACCAGGCAACAAATGAAATTTAATTCCATGGAATTTTACACAAGTGTTAATCCATCCATGAGCTCAGCTATGTTGACACAGCTGGTAGAATCCATGGTGGTCCTGAGTTGTTCCACGTTCTCGAGGAGTGAATTCACTGTGGTGTCACATTCAGCATTGGACAAGTAAAGCACCTCATTAACATGGTCCACTATTGTCCGGAAGTAAACTACACGAAAAGCACTCTTCAGCCTTTCGTACGTTTCTTTCTTGAGTGCCACATTTCGGCAAACAAAATTCATCACCACCGGACCTGTAAGAGTTGGAAAGGTAAATTATAAATAGTTGATGATAGGAGAATTGATACATTTCAACACTGATATGTGAATGTCGGAAGTACGTGGTAGCTGGTACTTCTGCTGCTACAAAGCAGCTGGTAAAACTAAGGTTTTAGCATTCACAAAGTTTATCGCTGTTGTAGCTATGCCTAGCTACAAAAACATTATTTGAAGGAAGTGAACAAGGAATATTTCTCAACTGCTTGTCTTAAAAAGAACCCAGCAGCCTTTTCAATATGGCTGTAGAACATCGCCCATAATTGGAATTTTCGTGAACATGTGAGCCTAATGTTACTGCACTGCATGCAGCATGGATTTAATTTCATGTAAAAAAGTACTGCTAAAAATTGCTCACTGTTTTCTTGAAATAAAACAGCACCAGCTGTACGGTGAGCGGACCTGACTATTCAGCAAATGGCCCATCCTGGCGACTTGAAAAATGATGCCCCAGGGAATGATATTACCGTAAAAATGCCAAGCAAGTGCCCCCCTCCCTTTTTTTTTTTTTTTGAGATCTGAAGTAAGTGCCAATAACCGAGCAAGCACCCTTCCTCTACATCCTTTACTGCGGCCACTTTTTTTCTTTCAAGATGAGCATCACTTGTGTAAAAAAAACAACAATGAGCACACTGAATTATTATCTAATATTGTTTATGAAAAGCTTCATAAATAAAGCAATTCATGAGAAACAAGGATGGGCATTTTTCGATTTCTAGTGGCTCTTTCACCAGCATCTTGAATTTCGGTCTGGGACCGAGCAAGCGCCTCCTCCCGAATCTGGTTGGATTATCCTTCACCATAGGGGGGGTGCTAGCTCGGCACTTTACAATAGAAACCATGGGCTATGCCGTACAGTTTCTGCGACCACATCAAGGAGCTGCACATGCCTGAACCAGAAAGAGCGGGTAATGCATTCAAAGAAAAAAGGATGCTTCAAGCCACAATGCATGGCTATGCGACTTGAAGGCAGCACAAATACTGCCTTGCAAGGGTGCAACAGCCAAAATTGAGCAATTTTTGGAGTATGAAAATGCAACCATTGAAGCAGGTTACGGGGAAAAAGCACAGCAGCTCCACTACTGCAAAATCCAGGGCATTGAGTAGCACGGGCACCCAAAAATTCCCGCTTGTATAGTTCCCACTGTCCGCTTTACCAAACCGTTGATGACGCCAATGTTAGAGGTAAGTATGTAGGGTTTCCCTGGCAAGACTAGAACCAAGTTAGGGAGATTTGCAAACTCAGTGCGCGACATGTGCACTTGCACTTTATAGACTTCCTGCTTGTTCCAGCAGCCGAGTTATACGTAGTCGGTAGCAAATTGCATTCGGTTGTTTCCCCTATCACATGCAGAAATGCAGCACTGGCAAAGTGTAAGGGGGCAGCCCTGTTATTTAACTTCACTTGCAATAACACTTTAGGTTTAGGAGACAAGGTCCAGCAAGAGTGACAAATGATTGATTGATTTGTGGGGTTTAACGTCCCAAAACCACCCTATGATTATGAGAGACGCCGTAGTGGAGGGCTCCGGAAATTTTGACCACCTGGGGTTCTTTAACGTGCACCCAAATCTGAGCACACGGGCCTCGACATTTCCGCCTCCATCGGAAATGCAGCCGCCGCAGCCGGGATTTGAACCCGCGACCTGCAGGTCAGCAGCCGAGTACCTTAGCCACTAGACCACCGCGGCGGGGCAAGAGTGACAAATGAATTCAACGGAAACCCACAAGGTGCGGTCAATTTATACCAATCTGCAAAGCTGGTTAATCTAAATTCTTGGAGAATCTTGTTCGGTTAATGTGGCAATGGTGAACGTTCATTTTAATAAATGAGCGCTCCATGCAACCACAGCGCACTCGGGAGTCCCACACAAGAAAGAAGCAGCAAATAGCATGTTTATTGGCCATTAAATGTGTGCAATACGTTTGAAGTGTCACCAACAGCACCATACCAAAATTGCTACTGAGCAGACAGCTGAAGAATCTTATCATGATAGGCCGGTCAGTGATAGATCGCAGGGGTGTACTCGCTGGTGCCTGCTAGATCACACCTTTATGCTTTCCCATGCCTACCACTATAGGAGTTCCCACACTGACACTGAAATCAATATTATCAGTCGAATAGTCTGCATTTCGCAAATAGGCATATGGCTTTTCACACCATGTGCGTGTGGTCAGCCTTGTCTCGAAATGATACTTATCAGGACGAACCAATTTAGCTCAAGAAATCAGCAAACACACTTGTTTTGACTACATTTTAACTATTATTACTTCACTGAAAAAGGGTATATATATTGAAAAAATCTTACTTTATTCATACAACATGCTAAGCCATGCACGTTAGCACTCCTGTGTGCCTTTTATTAATGTACCCGTTTATTTGTGCTCATTAGTACAGCACTGCTACTTCAGCAAGGGCAATGTGTTCAAGTAGTGGAGCTTGTAGTAACACCTTACACTGCAAACAATGACGATGGCTATATTTACACTGGCAGTGCCTATCACACGCATAACAGCTATTCTGGCAACCTGGAAATTCGAAAGATTCATAAGGTGGGGGGGGTGTAAGAGGGGATGCAAAAGAAAAAACAAGCAAAACAGTGCACATTTACTGTTTCTAAAGATCACAGCAATGTCATAAGCAGCAACAAATGACTACCAGTATCTTTTTCTTTTCTCCTTTTGAAGGATCAAACTAGCACTTCTGGTTATTGGGAATGAGCAAATGTTCAAAATTTCAAATAATTTTCTAATAGTGTTTGCTATTTTATTCCCACTATTGTTTTACTATTTGCCCCATTCGAACTACCTGAATACAAAAACAGTCAATGTCCGATTGGCAGTGGCCCCTTCAGATTTTCAATATGATTCACCCCATCAAATTCTCGAATTATGGCAAAGCTGCCTTTCAGGCTCTGCTACAGTGGCAAATGTAATGACTCAAAAAAACGCTGGTTTCAACATGGAGATGATACGTGTGGCTTAATTATTGCTGTTCTGGACCTAAAATTCTGGTAGGAAGTAAAAAAAATTGGAGAGAGAAGATTTTTAGCACCCAAAATTTGAGATGTTCTTATGTATTAACGTCTACGGGGCAAATTTGGAGCTATAGACTCAAAGGGAGCACGTCCTTGTCAACGACATCAGTTGGGTTTCCACAGAAATTTAAAGGGAAACTCCGGTGCATTTTCATTCATACTGAGATAATGCTGTTTTCTAATAGTATTGACAGTCCTGAAAAAGCTAAGCTGATTCATTTTGCCCAGGCACTAGTCAATAATTTTAATTAAGCAAAAAATGACGAGTCAAAACAGAAACCGAAACAGGGAGCGGCATTGTCGTCCATGGTGGGTATCCAATGACGTCACAAGATACCGTCGGCGATGACGTCACAAAATACCGTCACCGATGACTTCACGAGAACCGCTACACCCTGCCACGGCTGGCCAGGGTGTAAACATAGCTCAGGCGCCTCAATCTTCTGATGCACAAAAAGCAAGTTGGCGATGGAGCTGACAAAATTGAACTGTGCTCGCGTTATCGTCACCTCATAAAAGAAAGCGTGCACTGCATCCCTCTGCTGGGAAAGGCGGGGTTTTGAAAAAAAGAGTAAGCCCCGACGTCATATACACAGCGTGGCCCGCATTTACAAGTGTGATTCCAAAATCAGCAACAAATTTTATAATTTGTTTTGTAAAAAACTAAATGACTTATAGTTGTATAATTTGGCACATACCACGATACCAACACGAACACATGTTCAAAGTTTAACTGCAATTAGTGAATGTCAAAAAAACGCCGAAGTTCCCCTTTAAAGAGGAGGAGGAGAAGGAAATCGCACTTTTGCCTTCACATGTAAAGTGTTGTCGACAACACTTTAGTTGCACCGAATCATATCCATAAATGCAATTCGGCCTCTGTGTTGCCTCATTCTTGATACAACAACTATGAAACATGACCTCACCAATGCTTGATCAACATAGTTAAAAGAAACACTTCCATGTTCGTATCTCATAAGAATGTGCTTAGGGATCCTCTGCAACCTTTTTTTCTGCAAAATTTTGCTTCCAAGTATTAAAAAAATCATCATTTCAATGCAGACTTCAGTATTCGAATTCGCTTTGCACCTAAAATTTTGCTATTTGCACAGCTCTAGTAAATATATGGCACATGCATAAGAAATAAAATGTGCTACGTCCCATGACCGCCAGTTGGCTCTTTCCAATCTTAGTACGCTTTTTCACAAGACAACAGTCTACTGTAGTGAAAGTGACTAAAAAAAAGTGTTTCATTCAAGATAAAACAAGGCCAGGAAATTTTAAAACTGCAATCCCTCATTACTACGCAATAGTGCCAGCAGCAGTGGGAGTCGTATCAGCATGTCTGCACTTGTACGTACGTAAATCCAACGTGGTATGCGATAACTTCAGTAAGAGTCTTTAACACCAGAAAGCCTAGAAAACATTTTACATCAGAGTAAATAACAACTTTATCAATTCTATCAAAAACATATTTTCAGCAAGTTAAAATAATTGATATATTGCTTGCCAATTACTGCAATCCTGATAAGCAAGTTTGTACAACCGCAACACATAGGAGCATCCCCTCATGCTTCTGGGGTTGGCACACTTGCTCTGAATACGAGCACAAAACATGCAGATCACTCGACAACAATGAGAGTGAATCACGTGGAAGATGGAGTCATGCTTTCTAAGCGGAAATAAAAGAGGCACAAATACAGATTGAACAAGGAATGACTGAATGAGCCACAATCACACATACATCAGCATATGCATGTTGTAAGCAATCCATAAGATCACGTGATAACAAATGGTAGTTGGTTTCGTTTCTTTTTTCCAGCAAAATGCAGTCTGCTGAAAAGTTCTGAATCTCACCAAGAATGAGTTTAACAATGCATTATGTTTGGAGAGTTAGTTTTTCACTTGCATGTTCGAAGCACTAAAGATCACACAGACATACACAGAGAGCTGACTGACAACTGAAATTTAGTAGAACTAGCAAGCCCTTTTATCTGATGTTCCAACTATAAAACAGAATAGTTTGGAAACCCTGGAACAGAATGGCTCGAGAGAGATGTGGTCGTAAGGCTGAAAAATGCAACAGTCTGCAAAACAGTCACTGCACTTGGAACTGTCAGTAGAAGGCACAATGCCCATGCGAAGCAAGACCTGCCTCCTTGAAAGTTCTGTAGCCATTCCCATTTAGCAGTACCTCCGATCCACAAAAAGACACACACGAAACTGCGTTATCTACTGATTTGTCAGCAATGTGCCTCTGAGTGTGTCTTCAATATGCCGAGCATCCCACTCTAAACATAACTAGCATCTCATGCTCACCAATGGTGCTTTTAAGTACTTTCTTCAATCGTAATCAGCTAGGAAACACACAAAGAGTGCTTCACATGAATAAAAGGAATTCGTCTTCGGGTCTCCATTTGCTGGCTCCCTCAGCTGCTGACAGTCATTCTGTTTTCGAAGTCATTCTGTTTTCGAATATGCAACACTACACAACTTATATGAAGACTAAAAATAGCTATCAGATGCAACTTCCTTTAAAAATTTGCGTCTTTCTCCTGTTTGGCAGACATTCCACATGTGGGCTTCCTTTGCAGTTGACAACGAAAAATTAAAATACTAATTGATTGATACTGCTTGCCTGCACTCGGCAAGTTTACTTACCTATGCCCAAAACAGGCTATCTGATGTTATTTCATGAAAAGCTTTGACAGCACAATTGTAAAAGCATGAGCCAAACATTCACACAAAGCCCTGCGCTATATGCACATTCAGTGCTAAAAATATAGATTCCTATAGAATTTACCCGTACCATTGGAGATGGCTGCTAGTTGTTTCAATGTCTTTTCAGTCAAGAATGCTGCTGGTGGACAGGTCAGCCCCTCTGACAAGTCCTTACTGTCCACATCAAGGAACACAATGTCAAATCTTCTGCCTGTGCACAGAATGATAAAACAAAAACACATTTGCAATACAAATCAAACATTTAATAACTATACAATCAACTCTTGATACATAAAGATTGCAATGTAGTGAAATTTTTTGTTATTTATTACTTCCATTGCAATACATGCCTTTTCCCCTTGATAACCAAGTAGTTTTGTGCAACAATTTTAATACAGCAGAGTTCTGGCGAGGACAAATTCTGAAGTTTAATAAATATAAACAGATCTCCCATACTTTATTACATGCTTACTTTACTGATTGATTGATATGTGGGGCTTAAGGTCCCAAGTCACCATATGATTATGAGAGACGCGGTAGTGGAGGGCTCCGAAAATTTCGACCACCTGGGGTTCTTGAACGTGCACCCAAATCTGAGCCCACGGGCCTACAGCATTTTCGCCTCCATCGAAAGTGCAGCGGCCACAGCCGTGATTCGATCCCGCGACCTGTGAGTCAGCAGCCTTAGCCACTAGACGACTGCGGCGTGGCATGCTTACTTTATTAAAAGCATACTTCATTAAACAAGATGTTAGACATGACCAATATGTTTTAGTACTTATCATTTGTGGAAAGTGGTTAAGATAATACCCCCTTCACACTGCATGGCAACCAAGCAGTAATCATGCAGTCGATGGTGCACGCCATGGTCCATCATTTTGCAGTAACATTTTTTTTTTAGCAAATCTGATGCAATCAGCCCATAAAAAACATGTGACAGTTCATCTGATCACTGTACGCAGTTGCTGAATAAAGTTATCAGATTATACGGTTCAGCATTCGATAAAAGCATCTGCTTTGTGGCAGTTGTTTCAGCAGTGCATAAACCCATGATACCTTTTGGTGGCAGTGTAAGTTGGTGGCAGAGTAAGTTCTACATCACAAGTTACACAAAATCAGAAACACACATGGGAGTGGCTTAGGCAAAATGTCCAGCGGTACTGAGCACAATAAAGGTCAACTGTAAATCCAAAAGACACTTCTGCAGTTGGCAAGAGTACAAATGCCTCCCTCTCACCAGCTATACCAGAACCCCGCCCCTTTTTTTCTTCTTTAAAAAATAAATTAAAATCCTACAAAATGAATTTCTCTTGAAAAAGACATTACCAACATATACTGAAAAATCAATGTAGTTTAACTGCTACACTAACACACGTACTATTGGCATAAGCAACTTAGGGGGCAGACGTTCAGTGAAAGAACCCAGTGTCTAGCCTCGGAGTAAATGAAGCACTGCATTAACTACACACTGTACTATTACAGACTTGATGTCCGAATTCCAGGCCTTGTGCTCTAAAGACAAAGAAACTGCTTTTTTTTCACGTATTCTACATCTAAAAAGCTTTACACATTGACGAGTAATGTGAATTTCAAGCTTAGAAAAACAACTTTACTATCATTCAAGTGAAACTGATTTCTGCATTTAATGCTTTTTCAGTGTTCTTGTTCCATACTACAGTGAAATGCTTAACCAGACACAAAATGGTCATTATACGTTCTGCTGATATGTAAATCCAGGCAAAAGAAATGTGAGAGCCACATGCCTTCCTTGGCAAATCTTTCGAAGGCACTCAGTCCATCTTCCACAAAAATTTCCATGGGGTAGTCCTGCTGTTGAAAGTACCACTTCCTGGCAACATATAACACTTCAGGGTCTAACTCGACAATAGTCAGTTCCAGCTGGACATCAAGAAAGAGGGACAAAAAATTAACCACAATGAAATGCATTAACCTACAGTGGTCATGCCTTGGGTGCTTCCACCTACCAACACGTCATCTGATGACACATGAAACACATGTCGTCAGATGAAAGATCACCTATACGAAAACCATCTCCACGGAACTCACCCTACCACAATGTGACACAGGCTGGAGACTATACACCAAACGAGAGCCTTAAGAACAAAAAAAAATTTTCTTAAATAGATCACTTCATAGACATCTGCTGACACGGGTGCTATTTTTGGCCAGTGTATAATAGACACAGCACAGTTCCAGACTAGAATGACAACGATGTGGATAAATGCTCTTGACAGTAAAGGGCTTGTAATTATAAAACCAACCTATCCCAAGCCTCATGCATATCAAATATCTAGATATGCTGTCATAGACAAACTTCCTCAAGAAATTTCTGATCCAATGGGGATGTACGTGCATACATTTTAAGGAGATTCATTCCTGTGATTGTATGCACTTGCACAATGAACAAAGAGTTCTTTTTTTCTTTTTTTTGACAATACAGATTTTTTAAATAAAAATTTTGTGAACGTAAGGCTATTGTTGTTTTCACAAGTGAACTCCATGTTGAGGGGGAAATACTTTTATGCAGCTAAAATAACACTGCTGCAACTAACATAAGCTTGTTAATTAATTTTTAACTATTGCCTTGAGTGCTGCTATTTATATTAGAATGTTTTAGTGCACAATAATTTATTGTATACCCAGTCTTGTAAGAATCAGAACCGTTGAATGTAGTTCAAGATATTCGTCGTAAATTTCATGACTGCAATCAAAACATCACAGCCAGAGCACATGACATGCAGCCTCTCTGTTACGTTACACCGGAGAGTAGTCCTGACTGGGAAAGGATGAAACTTGAATCAAGACGCACCGAAGCACAATATGGTCAGAAAAATCAGCAAGCATTCTGAAATACACAAGTAGACAGCTTGATGCTTGTGTGCAATGTGTAGTGCCAGTTCGTTTCTCAAAAGTACAATGAGGAGCAAAAAACTATTTCACCTACGCAGCAGCGGTGGGTCCCGAGTTCTATGCTTTCCCCACAAAAAAAGGTTGATATTGCGGTTTTCTTGTGCACAATCCGTAAAAAACAAATAAGCACTTAACACTACATGCAAAAGTAATGTGATGCACTGGCACAAGAAAGATAGCTTGCAGCTTTTCATGAAAAAATACAGCTTCGGCCTGCCTTCAATCATATTTCGTCACTTCGTCATGGCCTATTCCAGACTGACATAATAAAATGGCCTTGCTTCATCAATGCTGGGCTGACCAGTTTTAATATCACTTTTAAAATTCAATGATGAATACAAGTGCAACTTTTATTTAAAATAAATTAGTATGCCATAAATTGGCAAGCACTATAACTCTGTTATATAAACAACTGCTCTCAAGTCAATAATTTAAAAGGTAATTAACCAAATTTTTGTTAATTAGTCATAACAGCATCAATCAGCTGTGGCAAAGTATTTCGGTTCCGAGGAGGACCTCATCTGCGAAAGCAACAGGAGCCTCACTGTCGTAAGGTTTTTATAAAAAATCTGCAGGAGGCTCACTGTCATAAGGTATTTATAAAAAATCTGCAATGTAAAAAAAAAAACTGTATATCCAGGAATCTTGGTCTTAAAGGAAAACAGTCAAATTGCCTAATGCAGTCACAGTGGCTTGAGAAAGTCATATTTGAACCCCCCTTTTCATCACGAAAAGCACTACTATATTGACTCGTGTGCAGGTCATTACTTTTAAGCAGGAATATTGTAAATCAGAAAAGGCGGGGGAGCTTAGAGGAATGCAGTTGGGAAGAAAATTCCAGATACTTATTTTAATCAAGCAGCCACAATATTCTAGGCAGCACACAAATCTTGTTACAAATAGTCATGAGGTAAGCGATTGATTTTCTGGAGTAAATTTCAATGCCATAAAAATCCAGTGGCAAACTGAGAAAAAACTGAGAATGCAGTTCATTTTTGAAATTAGAAATCTTCACCTGCTTGCACTTTTGTGCCAGCAATGCCACAGTATGCATTGATGCAGAAGGTACATTGCAATATTGTTGTGATAAGTGTTACAAAAATGCCAAAAGTAAAACAATGTGGTGTCATCTGACGTGATATTGAATGTGGTGTCATCTGATGAATGGCTGGCAGCACAAAAGCTCACAGTGACATTGTTGTTGATCAGCTACAAATTTGTATTTATAAAAGTGTTGCCGTAAGTAAAGAAAGAGGAAGACGTTGCACGCCACACAAAATATTACCTAGAACATGAACGAATACTTTACTTCTCTTTTGGGATGAGATCTCCCTGACAGCACCCCTGTGTTTTCGTCTACATTAGGACACAATTTCTAATTGACGCATAAAAATCTATATGCAGTCAGTAAATGTGTCTCCCTTTTTAGTGCATAAAACAACAAGAATGAAAAGCAATGCGGGCACATCATTGACTTTTAGCAAATGGTTTATTTGCCACAGTGGTATAGCTGCTCTCATTTATAACGAACTCAAAACTGCCGTGATAAATGATGGTTATATCAGTAGTTCGTCGGATATGAACCCACCCATAAAAATGTCCACTTAGTGGCCAAACCTTTTTTTTTTTTTTTTTTTCCCTGTGTATATTTATTAAAAATTGTGAACAACCCCTCTGCTGACAAGTTAGGCCTTTTCGCGTGTTGAAGGGGCTCTAAAGTCAAATAACAATTTAAGTTGCAGTGAAAGCTCAATGTATGACAACATCTAAAACGAGGATATTATTAACAACAGTGCCCTACTTACTGAGAAATTAAGGTAAGTGCACAAAAACACGTGCCGCAGTAGGTCATTTTCAAAATGATCCCGATGACATCGGATGGACCGCCTACAATTAATCACTAGTAATCGATGTAGCTGCACTAAATAAAGAACCTTCTGTTAATCAAGAGACACAATAAAATGCTGCATGTTTGTTTCTGTTTGATTAATGGAAAAAAGAACCGCCGGACTATGGGGATTGGCGCGAGTGGTTCAAAAATTCAATTTTCGCGTAGTTGGATGGATGAATGGATGGATGTATCCGGCTGTGCCCTTTAGATCGGGCGGTGGCTCACGCCACCTAGCCATAAAGTTTGCCCCACTTTCCATCATTACCCAGCTTTGCCCCACCCATCATTCATCCAGTGGAAATGCTGTCATTCTTTTTTCTATTCCCCGACGTTGGTCCTAGGAAGCACATGTATTTGCGACTTCCATTTAACAAAGTAACAGCTGAAGACAACCTACATATAACAAATTTTCCCCACGGACGATCTAGGAGTTTTATCCTAGATTTTGTCATTTCGGTCTTCCCCCATCTTCGTAAACCAAACACAAACAAAACATAAGAGAACTTCTTTTGCATTGGCAGTGCCACGCTTTTAGTTAGCATCACATATGTGGGGCTGCGCTGCATATAGATGGCACTTTAGCAAATAGTTTTCTATGGTATACATGTCGTTCACTCTTTGTTTTCGACACTGTGCGAGCGTGCATGGTTTCAGTGCGCGCATGGTGTTGGCCCCCGAGGACGTCCAGCTTAACTTTTTTTTTTTTTCATTTTGCTTTTTAAATGCACACAACCATGTCGTCACTGCCAAGGGGTTGTCAGATTAAGCACTGATGGAAATTCTCTCAGACCACGATGACGACGGATCTTCGGAGGTCGACTCGTCACGCACTTACGTCTTGTGTCGCGAGTTCGCAGGATTGTAGCCTTCGCGATTAGCTGATTAGCACTAGAAACAACACGACGGCGTGTTGAATGCAATGCAATGAATGTGATGGTGAAAAATTTTATGTTATACGAAGTAAGGTTGGCAGCCAACTCTTTCGGATCCCATATCGTAAAACTCCTACGAAACGCTGGTGTGAGCAAGTAAGGCCGCTCCAGGAAAAAGTGCTCCTTTTTAAACAGCTGTGCGATACTTGCCGAGATAGCACGTGCCACAGCGATCGTGACCGCCCTTAAGATCAAAGTTCATTGTTGCTAATAACGAAATCCTCTTGTTTTTTCAGGAATTTATCAATTTTGTTATATCCAGGTTTAACTGTATTCGCACAAGCCTACTGATTGTGAAAGCAATGGCTTGTGCGAATACTGATTGTGAAAGCACAGCCGTTCCTTAAGCATAAACCTTTCAACATTTGAAAATTTAAGGGAATAAGGATTCACACTCTTAAATATACTCTTGAAGTGGCATGGCTGCCTGTTCGTCACTTCTGGCACATGTGCATGCAGCCTTTGAAAAATGGTGTTTTGATTATAGAGTGTACATTTGCTTCTCGGGGTCTATGCTGTAATTATAGAAAGGTGGTCCGCCCAACACTGCACAAATGCACATGTTTTCCTTAATCTGCGCATACTCACAGACAATGTAGTGCAGTATATGCATGTGAGGATAGGTGTTTGCTAGGGCGTCTCAACCTCGTGAAATTGGTCTGGTCACTTCTAGGGCATCCACAAGAACATCCCTTTGTTTCATCATGGCAGAGAAAATAATTTTATATATTTAAGCAGCACCACATTTCTTCTGACAAATATTAGTTTGCCTCATTGGCAAAACTTGACTCACCAACATTAGTACTGGCAATCAAAGCAACTACCAACCAATTTACAAGAAAAAGGGCATAACGAAAAAGCCAATTCCCACCTTTGGGAACTTTGTTACCAGAAAAAGTGGTAGCGTACCACCCCCTAGTCCAACTATCAATGCATTGGCTGGCTCCTCTGCAATTGAAACAAGAGAAAGGAGCATCAGTCTTTAAAATGCACACACAAAAATCTCAAAACTTGGCAATATCACTTGCAAACTACACATAGCATAAGCAGGCGCATCCCTCTAAACCATGCGAACCATAAAAACTCCACAACAGAGAAAAAACACTAATGTACGATGAAAAAACAACAAAGCAAACTATGCTCTACAAGAACACTACAATAGGTACAGACAAAAAACAAATATGTGGAATGTTAATAAAATAACAACATGATGGAAAGAAAAGAGGAATACAAGGAAATAATTACAGAAGGATCATGGTCATGCTTCCCGATTTCTAAGTGCGACGCAGCGCACACAACTACAATTATTTAAAAGCTGGTTATGATAAAATAACAGTTAAAGAAAAAGTCACAATAAAAAGTTCCACACGGACTAGGCCAGGTCTTATTACACGTAGGGGAGTTGACGGGTGCCGCTGAAGATCTTGCCAGCTTAGTAGACGACGAGGGTGCCCGGTATTCCAGCCGCCTCGCCTCAATACGTTGCGCGGGTCACTCCATACTCGCCGCCTACGCGAGCCTCGCGACACCGACAACCACCCGTCTTGCTGGTTGCACGTCAACTGCCGATTCTGAAGCAGTCAAAACTTTTTCGTGGTGTAAGCGTGCTCCCTTCACCTCTGGAAGTCATTTCCTTTTTCTCGAACACATGTGCCTTCTTTCGGTACAGGTGTAGAGAAGACGACGCGGCACCGCTGTTGCGTCGTTAGTCGCCGGATGTCGTTCTCCCAACACAAACGAAAATTACAGTTGTTTGTGACAATGGGCAAAGCTGACGAAACTCCGATCTGGTTCGATATGCCTTCGAACCAGACTGTGACTGCTAAAGGATCAAAACAAGTGAAGCTCTTGACAACGAACAACGAGCATTCGTGATTTACAGTGATGCTCGCATGCACAGCTGATGGAAAGATGCTGCTCCCTTATATCATATTCAAGAGAAAATGATCTAAGAGAGCAGCGTCAGAAATGATATAAGGTGAATTCAGAAAAATATATAAGGCGAGGGCTAAAGCCCTAAAGCGGGGCTTGTCTGCACGTAACGATTGTGAAGAAAGGCTAGACTGAAGGAGCCACTTCATCTACAAGCTCCCAGGGCAAAGCAGCAAGGACTGCGCCGTTTGTAGCGATAGGCAAACAAAAAGAGGGTGGAGGGAAAGGAGACGTTCTTTTGAAGCGAACGAAAAAGAGTTCATGAATGAGTCCCTCATGCTTGAGTGAAACCAGCTCGTGTGGAATTTGCAACCAGGTGCGCTTTTTCAGCAACCAAACCTGTTGGTGCTTGACTCATTTCTAGGCCACCTCATCACCGATTTAAAGAGAGCACTGTCCGATGGCAAGACGAACCTTGACGTGATCTCTGGGGGACTAACATCAATCCACCAGCCACTGGACGTAGTGCTCAATAAGCCCTTCAAAAATCGTGTGCGCAAGCTGTACAATGTGTGGATGCTGGGCAACAATCCCAAGACCTTCGCTGGTCTCGTGACCGTTTGTGGCTGGGTGTTGTCAGCTTGGAAATCTATGCCTGAAGAGATAGTGTGCAAGTCTTTCCACAAATGCTGCATCAGCAACGCAGTCGATGGAATGGAGGACGATGCACTCTGGGACATAACTAGTGAGAAACAGTCGTCAGACTCAAGTTCGGACGAGCCTGAGTGACAGCACTTTGTGGCCTTCTGGCGTTTAATTAACTACATAAGATTAGTGGCGAAATAAAAAGAAACGTCACCACAGTGCAGCTGGTTGTGTCGCGTATCAATAAAGGTTATGGTGACCCCGCTACTAACTGCAACGGACGATCACCGCGGGTTCACGCTTAGCGAGCCACAGGGCCGCTACTCCGTTTACTCGCGTGTAGCGCACCGCTCCGCGCTCGACTGATAAGGCGTTTAGCGCGGCGCGGCAAATACACAGTGTTCTAATGTAACAGTACACAACACTTTATTGCCTCTGGCGGCACCCCGAACAACAGCACAACGTCCGCTCCCGGGACGCGGGTAGCAAAGGCACCCGCCCGCGGACGTTCACAATAAGGGGAAAACCGCGAGCACGTCGCAGCTGGCAATGGCGAGCTTTGACACGCCGGTCGGGAAAAGGTCCCTCGCGGCTATGCTGCGCACTCTCACGATGGCCACTGGGCGTGGTCGCGAGTGTTAGGGCAAACCTCGTACGCGTAGGCCTAACGCAAGTGCGGCTCGTTGTGGTACGACCACTTCAAGCACTAGGCACCGCTCTGGGCTTAGCGTACGCTCCGAAGCTAGCACTCAAGTAAACACGCCTGCCGAGGTGCCCAAGGCACCCCAGGCAGGCTACCGTCCGCGATTCCCAAAGGGGACGCGGACGAAGGAAAACACGTGCTTACCCGGCGCCGACCAACGGAGAAGAGACCGCTCCATCGGCGCGCGCAGTGGCGCGCGCCGTGCCCGCACGTGGCGCCATCTATCGCCACGTGGTGTTAACAGAGCAGGAAAGCGAAAGGGTGTGGCCGTGTGGCGGAATGCCCGCGAAATGGTCGCGGGCGCGCCTCAGATCCCCACATCCTCCTCTCCTTAATTCACCCTATATACCGGTCTGCAAAGGCAGCCGGTCGTCGCCCATGCATGCAAAGGCGTCATGCAATGGGCAACAGCTAGCCTCAGCCTGGCTCTGCAACTGCTGCTGAAGAAAAAAAAATAAACAACACAGGAATACACTTGACAAATACAAGGGCTCCGCGGAAGAGGGGTAACGGGAGTTCATGATGCTCACGCAAGAGCGCGTCCACGGCTCGGAGGGGCAGCGTCACGTAATGTCTGACTTGGGGTGATTGCGTGGATGCGAGAGTTCAAGAGGAGGGTTTTGGTTGAGGCCTTCATGCGAGGAACGGGCTCACCTTCGTTTCGTCGATGTTGACGACAGCCCTGCGAGTCCGACGAACGCCGACTCGGTGGATGTTCGGATGGACCTCGCTGCGACAGCCGGCCCTTCTGCTGGAATAATGGTTGCCAAATATACTGGCTTCGGCGTCGGTCGAGTCGTGCACAGCGTCTGCGACAGCTGGCCTCGTGCAGGTCTCCGAACACCTCCAGAGTCCAAAGTGGTGTAGGGGTCGGTGACTTCCTAAGTTGTCGCCACACGCACACACACACACACCTCCGATGGTCGGGTCTCTCCAAACGCGCACCGCAAGGGAAGCGCAGAGTGTCATTTGTCCCTCTCCCCACGCTAAAGCATCAATTCACAATCCCCTCCTCCATCGAGAAGAAAAAAAAGAAAACACGACAAAAAACATCAAGTAAACAACACTCAAATGACAATCAGCAGCAGTAACTGGGCGGCACAGACTTCTTTGCAAGCACTGGCTGTAAAGAAGTTAGCTAACTGAGGCTAGAAAGTTAAAATGAGGGCCTTCGGTTGCGGAAATAAGCCCGCCGTCCGGCGCGAAATCACTAAGGTGACCGCTTCCTCAGATTATACCGGTGCGTGGTCCGAATGCGGTCCGCCGCGCCGGGTTTGCGCCGTTGCTTGCGCGCAGAGCCACTGGGCGCTGGCGCAGGCTCGTCAGACCTCGACGCAAAGGCTTTCAGGTCTGCGATATGGGCACGGCTGAGTTTTCCCGAAAGCGGGTCTTTCAGCAAGTACGCGAGTGGAGTCCAAGCTTTTTCCACTCGGTACGGACCAAGCCACTTTGGAGCGAGCGAAGTTGAGAAACCCTTGCTCGCGTCGCTAAGAGCGTGGTTGCGCTTCAGGACGAGGTCACCCACCTTAAATGAAAGGTGGCGACGTTTTCGGTCGTACTGGGCCTTTTGCTCGGCCCTGGCCGATGCCAAACTTTGCCTCGCTCTACTGAGAGCTCGACAAAGCCTGTCCCGAAGTGTGGAAGCGTAAGCAGAACAGTCTGCCGGTTCTTCCTCGTCTCCGAGCTGGCATTGCATGACACTGGTCACCGGATTTGCCAACTCCCTTCCGAAATTAAGGAAGGCGGGAGAGAAACCAGTAGAGCGACTCTCGGAGGTTCGGATTGCAAACGCGAGTTCACTCAAATGGTCTGCCCAGTCCCTTTGACTTTCGGCAAAGGCCGCCAACATCGGTTTGAGCGTACGATTGGTTCGCTCCGTCAAATTGGACTGGGGATGGTAGGGCGAAGTGGTGCAGTGATCTATTCCTTGGGAATGGCACGTATCACCAAACACCCGAGCCGTGAAATACGACGCATTGTCCGTGATCAATCTTTTCGGAAAGCCGAACCGACAAAACACTTCCTGTAGCCTCTCTAGCACCGCTCGCGCTGTCACTTTCCGCAGCGGAACAGCTCCACCCATTTGGAAAAATGATCAACGACTACCATCAGATGTATGAACCCCTGCTTACTCTTGGGGAACGGCCTCATTAGATCGCAGGTGGCCACTTGCCACGGACGCTCACTGACAATCGGTTTCATCAAGCCGGGCGGCTTGCCGCCCCTTGATTTCACCGTTTGACAGACGTGGCAGGAACGGCAATAGCGAAAAATGTCACGCTTCATGCCAAGCCAAGTCACAACCTTGCTCAGTTTCGCAAAAACTTTGGAGCCACTCAGGTGACCGGCAATGGGCTCGTCGCGAGAGGCTCGCAACAGTGCGGCTCTCAAGACTTTTGGGCATAACCACTTTAAACGGGTCTATGGACTCGTCGTCAGTGGCTATATACTTCAGCAGGAGCCCGTCATGGTCCAGCAAAATGAATCCGCCGGGGACTCAGCGACACACGCTGTTTCAGCCCCCTAATCGCGCCCGCCGCAGAACAAGCAGCGTAACGGCGCGCCTCTCAAGACGGTTTAACGGCGCCCGCCGCTAAGCAAGCAGCGTATACGGCGCTCTGTCCCTCCGAGACAAGAAACGGATCACTCTGCTGAGCCTTCAGTAGCTCTTCGCTGCCGAAAGCAACTCCCCTTCTCCCAAATGGGGGAGTCTGGTATCGCGCCCCCTCAGGACCGCAGCAACCGCCGCGTGCACGGCGTCACGGTGGCCTTCGGAAAGTTCCCCCCGCTCGGCCGCTACGCAGTGCGCCGCTTCCTGGATAGCAGCCAAGGTCGTCCTCAAGGGGACTCCCCCTTTTCGCCGCTGTTTCGCCCCCGACGCTTGCCAGTGCTAAGGCACCGCGAGCGGCCGTCGCACCGGAAGCCAGGTTCTCGGCAGACAACAGGGGCACGAGATAGCGCGTCAGCTACCACGTTGGAGTGTATTCACCACAAAAGGGGTGACGACACAGGCGAGCGCCGAAGGGCGCCCGTCGATAGAGGCAGTGGCCTCTTTGTGCAACGCGGCATGCCACGGAGCAGACATGTTGCGACGAGCCCGAATCGCGCAGGCGAACTGGCTCGCTAAGACTAACCAAAGGCTTAATGAGCCCTTGATACCGCGTTGGGTACCAGGCTGCTAGGTTGCACAGCAGCCAGCGGGCAAAATTCGGCACCGGCTGAGGCCGCGGTGCCGATCTGCGCCCCGGAAGCTCCACTGAGAGCCGTTTCGGAGCGCTGTGACATGGAACTGCCATGCATTCCAAAGGGAGCAGTAGTAGTCCAATTTGCCCTTGTGCACTGTTCGGGTTGGGCTATGGCCCCGGACCCAAAACACGCTACCTCTCCAGTGGGAGCTGATACGTAGCGCCTCGTGTCATCCCGACTGGGGCTTGTGACAAGTGAGGGTGCGCGATTGTGATGCTCAAGGGGGCACTGGCCCTGTTCTCGAGCAATGCGGTATCTGCTAAAAGCGTCAGCGGACAGAACTCACGCGGAGCAGACATAACGCGGGTAAACGCGGCGAGGCTGATTCGCAAAGGCGGCTGACTCGGCTAAGACTAATCAAAGGCTCATTAAGCCTTTGATACCGCGTTGGGCGCCAGTATGGTGACCCCGCTACTAACTGCAACGGACGATCACCGCGGGTTCACGCTTAGCGAGCCACAGGGCCGCTACTCCGTTTACTCGCGTGTAGCGCACCGCTCCGCGCTCGACTGATAAGGCGTTTAGCGCGGCGCGGCAAATACACAGTGTTCTAATGTAACAGTACACAACACTTTATTGCCTCTGGCGGCACCCCGAACAACAGCACAACGTCCGCTCCCGGGACGCGGGTAGCAAAGGCACCCGCCCGCGGACGTTCACAATAAGGGGAAAACCGCGAGCACGTCGCAGCTGGCAATGGCGAGCTTTGACACGCCGGTCGGGAAAAGGTCCCTCGCGGCTATGCTGCGCACTCTCACGATGGCCACTGGGCCTGGTCGCGAGTGTTAGGGCAAACCTCGTACGCGTAGGCCTAACGCAAGTGCGGCTCGTTGTGGTACGACCACTTCAAGCACTAGGCACCGCTCTGGGCTTAGCGTACGCTCCGAAGCTAGCACTCAAGTAAACACGCCTGCCGAGGTGCCCAAGGCACCCCAGGCAGGCTACCGTCCGCGATTCCCAAAGGGGACGCGGACGAAGGAAAACACGTGCTTACCCGGCGCCGACCAACGGAGAAGAGACCGCTCCATCGGCGCGCGCAGTGGCGCGCGCCGTGCCCGCACGTGGCGCCATCTATCGCCACGTGGTGTTAACAGAGCAGGAAAGCGAAAGGGTGTGGCCGTGTGGCGGAATGCCCGCGAAATGGTCGCGGGCGCGCCTCAGATCCCCACAAGGTAAGGGCGCGCCACGGTACTTTCTGATTTTTTTTAATTTCTTTTTCGGAGATCCAAAGTTGGGGGGGGGGGGGGGGTCAACCTATATTCCAGTCTTTACGGTGTGTTTTCACCAATGTTTTTGTTACATTTTTCTTTCGTCACAGCAATGATACATCACACACAGCCTTTTTGTCAATATTCATAGGTGAATCTTATACAACAGTGCGTTTTATACGTTGTTGGCATTTCTTAGACACTTCATCATCTGCACATAATCATTACATGGGGTCTTTATGTTCATTGCTTATAGAGACTCGTCTAGAGATCGATCTGTGCCTCGAGTGTGGTTGGACCACCATGTCTTTGGGTTGCATTAAGGTTTTGTCAATTGCTACGTTACACGTGACAGGGGTGTGGTGTATTGATCCCAGTACCTCTCACAGAAATGAGCCACTGTGCTCATTTAAAAACATCTGTGAGAAAACCCCACAATGGGAGCATCAACGAAATGCTAAGGCTTTAATTACAGGAGAATAATGACTCACCAGTTCCTTTTGGCATAATAAAGGCAAGTCCAGCAACCATGTACTTGTAGTATTCACTCCGGAGGTCATCCTTGACAACCTCCCAGACTTTACCCTTCTGTCCTTTCTGCTTAACTTCTCACACACAAGAAAAAAAAAAGATCGAGAACAACACATTTAATGACCACAAATAAAACAGCTCCAAGTCATCAAATCTGGTTACAAGGGGACCATGCACTACATCATATGTGGCATCAGTCTCCAATTCCTGTCATCTTCCATTTTCATGAAACAATGAAATGTCATAATGTTGTGCATTCCTACTTTGCCCATGTCTCGCACACCTGTTGGACAAGATGATTTACTGACACCTAAACAGGCTATCACACTGCAGTTGTAAAATCTGCATCTGGTAGTCATAACAGTGCATTAAATGCCTGTGGTGAAATGCAGTTTCCAATGCAGTTTCCCAACTTCCCTTCTTTAGAAATGCGTCAAACAAGGGTGGCAATGCTTCAGAGAGAGACTGTAAATCTGTAAATGTCTATTTCTTGCTTCAGTGCAATTCGACCTTGATCTAATTAAAGTTGGATGTATTTCTACCATGTTATGTGCACAACATTTCCATCCTTATACTTTATAAGTACTGCTACAAAACAGCACCGGTCTGCGAGATATTACTGGCAACAAGAAGCCCAATTTCACTTTTTTTTTTCAATACTAAACATCTTGTTTGTTTTGGCACATACTACCTAAGAGTGTCAGTGCTACATAGCATTGTTTGATAAACTGCAAATAGCCCATTGCGAGTTTTGAGATGCGAGCTGAAACATGGAGGATAAGGAAGGAACTTGAGAAAAAGTTCTGGACTGTGGAGCATGTGATAGAATGGAAAAATAGGCATAACATTAACGCTTTGCGGTCCGTTGCAGTGCTCGACAACGCCACACGGCCGTACCGGTCCGCTGTCGAGCAACGCCCGACGGCCGTAGTTGTCCGCTGTCGAGCAACGCCCGACGGCCGTAGTTATCCGCTGTCGAGCAACGCCCGACGGCCGTAGTTGTCCGCTGTCGAGCATGTCCCTCCTTTAAATTTCGCGATTTTCTCACTGCAAGTCATGCGCGTTTTTTAAATACATGAAGCTCCATCTCTCGAGAATGAGTGAGCTTTGTTTGTTGATGTTTACTTTTTTTACACTAGGATGCAGCACTATGTTCAGCACGGAGCGTATTCACCCGCACGTAGTTCGTGGAGAATCATGGCCACGTTTTGACCCAAGCGTTTTACGGTGGCACTTTTAGCGAAAGCGAAGATGACAGTAGTGAGGAAGGGAATTATGTGCCCCCATCAGACAGTGATTCGACTGAAGTGAATTCGACTGTGCGAGCTACACATTTTGTCGCAAGACGATGAAATGATGGCGCAAGCTTTTTTTCTGGATTCTGGAAGTTTTCATTGTCAATAGTTCGATCTTGAGGTGCATACAGCTGCAGATACATGGCAAATACGAACAGCGACACCTGCAGTACCACTGCAACCTCATCCAACAGCTTGTGGGTGACGCGAGGGCTAGAGCCCGAAAGCTGGGCCCATCTGTACGTAACGATTGTGAAGAAAGGCTAGAGTGAAGGAGCCACTTCATCTACAAGCTCACAGGGTGAAGCAGCAAGGACTGCGTCGTTTGTAGCGATAAGCAAACAAAAGGAGGCAGGAGGGAAACTGTTCTTCTGCAAAACCTGCGGTAACAGCAAATAATGCTGAGCAGCTTCGCAACCTTTGTGCTGTACTTAGCAAGCTTCAGGAATCGGGCCTCAAGCTGAAACTAGAAAAATGCCATTTCTTCGTGCCGCAAGTTGAGTATCTCGGGCACATCATCAGCAAGGAAGGCCTTTCCCCGAATGTTGACAAGATAGCAGCCATTCTGCATGCTCCTGTGCCTCAGGATGTCAGGGAACTTCAAAGCTTCTTGGGACTTGTAAACTCTTCTACAGGCGCTTCTTACCCAATCTTTCGTCACTCCTTCGTCCACTGCACTTACTTCTTTGTGAAGGGAAGAAGTGGGAGTGGAGACATGAACAACAAGATGCATTCAATGCCTGCAAGCACTTGGTGACATCAGCTCCAGTTCTAGTGCATTTCAACCCTGCCAGGCCTGTTTGCCTCAGCTGTGATGCATCGCCTTATGTTATAGGTGCAGTTCTAGCGCACAAAGATGCTGATGGCGGGGAACATCCCATTGCTTTTGCCTCGAGGAGCTTGTCAAAAGCAGAACAAACCTACAGTAAACTCAACAAGGAGGCACTGGCATTAGTGTTTGGTGTGGATCGGTTCTACCAGTACTTGTGGGGCATCTAATTCGAAGCACGCACTGACCACAAGCCACTTCTTGGTCTGCTGGGTGCCAACAAGCCCGTTCCCGTGCAAGCTTCACCTCGAGTGGTCAGGTCGGCACTGAAGCTGTCTGCTTACAAGTACGAACTTGTATACAAGCCTGGCAAAGAGCTCGGCCACGCTGATGCTCTTAGTAGACTGCCTCTCCCAACCGACACTACTGCATTACCACGACCTGCTGAAATCTTCTTGCTAGAGGAGGCATATCCGAAACTCCTTTCACCAGGTGTTGTGGCCCAAGCCACACGAAATGACCCACTTCTGGGCCATGTTGTTCTTGCAGTTCTGAAAGGAGAAAGCCTTCCAGTAGGACCAGAGTGGAACCCTTTCAATACCAGAAGCTCAGAACTCAGTCTCCATGAGGGTTGCCTACTCTGAGGATCAAGAGTAGTGATCCCAAAGCCATTGCAGACCCAAGTTCTTGGTGTTCTTCATGCCAGCCACCCGGGTATTGAGAAGAGCAAGATGATTGCCAGGAGCCATGTTTGGTGGCCAGGCATTGACAATGATATTGCCAACAGCATGAAGAGCTGCGCTACGTGCCAGACTCAACATCGAGCTGCACAGCCGGTTCAGCAGACGCCGTGGCCTTTTCCACAGCGACCCTGGTCAAGGCTTCACATTGATTTTGGGGGACCATTTCTAGGTCACACATTCTTGGTTATTGTGGATGCGTTCTCAAAGTGGGTAGAAGTCTTTCCTGTGTCTTCTACATCTGCAGAAGCTACCATTTCTGCATTGAGAATTGCATTCGCTCAGCATAGCCTGCCTGATGTCATAGTTTCAGACAACGGTCCTGCCTTCACCAGTGCCCAGTACCTTGAGTTCTTAACTCGAAATGGAATACCCCGATGCTTGTACCGCCGTATCACCCTGCCTCAAATGGTGCAGCTGAAAGAGTTGTACAAACTGTGAAGAACAAACTCAAGAAGTCTAGTTCTGGGAACTTCCAAACGCAGATCTCCAGGTTTCAGTTCCATTATAGGACCACACCACATGAAGTGACAGGTCGGCCACCGTGTGAACTCTTGACAGGAAGAATGTTCAAGACTCCGTTGGATGTCCTCAGGCCAAGCCTGCAGGCATCTGTATTCCTAAAACAACTCAAGCAGAAGTTGTATGCTGACAGAGGGTCCCGGCAGGCTCCATCACTGTAGCCAGGTGATGATGTGTACGCGCGTAACTTTCGCAGGGGCACACCCTGGGTGCCTGCCAGTGTCGTGGACGTCACTCCATCATCAGCCAGTGTCCATTTTGAAGACGGCACCTTGGGAAACCATCACAGCGACCACTTGCGCCTTGTGGAGACAGAAATATTGGCCTCTCTTGAAACTGCTATCGCTGTAGCTCCACCACAGTAGGAGCCGCTGCTTCATCATGCGCCAGCTATTCCAGAAGTGCCTCATCAGGAACAGCTACCTGGAACTAGCTTCTCTGGGAGTAGCTGTGCCACAGAGAGTGACGGGACTGCGCTCAACAGGGGTGTGCATGTGAACAGTGACTATGTCGTGCCTACGCCTAGCACGCCGAAGTTGCGACGTGGACTAGGAAACCGGTGAATAGGTACTCCCCATAGTCTTCCTCCTAAGAGGGGAGGAGTGTTACAATGTTGGTTCAAATGCAGCGCCCCCACACGGCGCTGATAGTTGTGTTGAGCTGTGCAAGCCTGCCACAGCAGCGGGGGTAGCCGTTTTGGGAAATAATAAAACAGTTTGTTCTGGGCTAAGGGCTCAAGATGTTCTCGCGTTCTTCGCGGGCCTGATGGCTTACTGTTCACGGTTGTCACTACCGCCTGGCCATCAGTTAATCTTCACATGTAACAACAACCCTGGCCTGCCCCCAGGAGAATGCTTTGAGCGTTATCACATGCTGCTTAAATATGGCTAAAGGAGTTGCCTGCAGAATGCAAAAGCAAAAATAAATATCCTGTGAGTTTTTCTTCCGCAGTTCGTGTTTTTCTTCGCAGCGCCAGAAACTAACGAAATAGTTTCAGACCGGAAGAGGCGGAAAGTGGGTAAAAGTTTAGGAACGCAAAGGGTTAAGGGACAAGAAGATAGCACAGAGGATCAAAGAACAAAAAGTGATTGCCGATATTCTTATTATGTGAAAGAAATATGAACATTATGTGAAAAAAATGGTTCTCAGCTGGGCACACAATATGTAGGTCAGATAATTAGCGTACCTGCCAACCTAGGAACATTTGTCCGGTGGGGGGGGGGGGGGGGGGGGGGGGGAGGGGGGTATTTTATTGCTGAGACAGACATTTGCGACCCACTGTTGTTGCTTCCATCTACTGCGATTGCGAAAGCACCACATTCGAGAGCCTCCACTATTGTGTTTTCGGCATCTGCAGCCATACGTCCACACCCGTACCACCTCGCGTGCTCACACTTCGGGAACACTTCCTAAAACAATGGTCCAGCGTGATCACGAACCGATGCTTAACGGCAAGCTGTTTTCCCGCAAGAAATCCCGTTAATATATAGGCGTTCTGCGCGGATCGCACTGTCTTTGCAGCTCTTGTTGAAGAAACTCCATATGTTATGCTGCCCTTTCACAGCACGAAAATAGTTCTGATGCTTCTGTGAAGCGATAAGCACCTTTATCTCGGCCTTGCTGCCGTGCGAAATGCTTGCATTACAGGCACACATGCTACAGAGTCCATATACTTGTGAACTTTCCGCGAAGTCACGAAGCGTAGAAACTCCCCTCTGTACGAGTCCAGAAACGCAAATATTTCCTTAATTTGACACCCCCATCAACCTTCCAACTGAACTCAGGGAAACACACGCAACCCCCCCAACCACGTAACAAACACAACTGACGCCTTGGCAAGAGGCATAGAAGTGTGGCAGCTTGGGCTAGTTGGTATGGCATGACGATAGTTATAGCGCGAGAACAAAACGACGACACAGAGACAAGCAGGTCTTTCGTGTCCTTCTTGTCTGTGTCGTCGTTTTGTTCTCGCGCTATAACTATCGTCAAGAGGCATATACCTAGCGTGGTAAATGCAGCGGCAGAGACACGCAAAAGTTGCAGTACCTTATCCACTTTGGTACTGTGATAAGCGCATCTCGCAGAAAAAAGTGCATTCATTACGCAAGTAAATACGGTAGTACCACACACCTAGGCCTTCGCCTAGGTGTGTGGTACTACCGTATTTACTTGCGTAATGAATGCACTTTTTTCTCTCGAAGAATCAGAGCAAAGTTGGGGGGTGCATTTATTATGCAGAGTAAATTTTATGAATACTATTTCGAGAGGACCAAAAAATGCAGTAATGCAAAAAAAAGTTCGGTTGCTTAGCTTTTCCTGATTGACATACGTGTACACTGTTTGAAAACAGCTTCTTTGTTGCACTTTACTCATCTTCAGTGGTTGATCGCCCTATCTTCTGCAAGTTGTCCCCTGGCCGCCCGCGCACGCCATAAAAGCGTTTTGCGGCTATCTTTTCTCGCAATCGTATAACCGCAATACGTATCTGCTGTGATCTCGAGGGGCGCCCAAAAGCGTGTGCAACAGCACTACAACGCACTTTGCCAACAAAAATAATAAAAAACGAAAGAGATACAACGTGTGCCAGGTGTCTATAAGCGGGACTGGACTGGATGAATGTAGGTGGTGCGCTTATAACGGGGAGAAAAAATCCAGAGAATTTTTATGACTGAAGTTGGGGGTGCGTTTATTATGTGAGTGTGTTCATTACGTGAGTAAATACGGCATATAGTGCCTAGAATATACTAAGTGGTACCCTACAATATGGTTACAAAGAAAAAGTGCTCTTCCGCAGCACCGCAACTGTCGCAGCTGGAAAGGCTGACGTATGCAGGCGATTAAAAACAAAACGGATCAGCTATGGCGGCCACTTTACAGGAGATTCGAGATAGCATCCGTACAATCGGGAGATTAGGTCCAAATTTGGGAGTCTCCCAAACAATTCGGCAAAGTTGGCAGGTATGAAGTAGTGGTAAAGCTAGAGCAACAGATGCCACAGAATAAGAAAGACAGCCAAGGACGCCAGAGGTGGGGTGAAGAAATAAAGTTTGCAGGCATATAATGAAATCCATTCATGCAAGGCAGGGCAAATTGGAGAACACTGAGAAAGGATTTCATCCTTCACCCAATGAACTTGGTGAACTGTATTTTCTCTTTCCAGGAAAATCAAAAAGATTAAGTTACTTTAAAAGCATTATCACATTGTAGGGACTATCAAATGCGTTGGCTCACACATCTTAGTGAACTGACATTTTGAAGTATCATAAATGTAGTACAGTTGAACCCCTCCATAATGAAATTGCCAGGAAAGCGAATTTTGTTTGTTTTAGTGAATTGAGTTGCCAGAAATATAGTCAAATATGCAGACTAATCATTTTGAACAACTAAGTTTTCGTTACATGAAGTAACTGATCTTGCTATGTCTTTCAACCTGAGAAGTGTAGACAGCAAGCTGCTCAAAATCCACAATTCCTCTGTGATATCTACCTCTTTTTGGCCTCTCCAGCTTTGGAGATGATCCTATACTGCCTCTCATGCATCAATAACTTACGCTTCTTAATAAGAGGCAGCATCTTTCCGAAAGACCAAACAGCACGGCACGTAAGCAAAGCGTGGAGTGCACATGGAAGGCACACGGTGGCAAGCTGTTGGGCAGTCCACAGAATGTCTGTCGGCATGACATCACTTCTGCGGGTGTCATCACTTAAAACGTCATGTGCCAACGTAATCGGCAACAGAGGCATTGGCAAAAACTGTTTTTGGCGAGTAAAAAAAGAAAGGTCTTCTTCCTATCACTATTATTCGAATGAATGTAAGCCAAAATGAGAGACTGACTGACTTGTGCCGGACTTGTCAAATGAGTGGTGCTGCAATTTTTTTTTTTTTAAGTTTTGGGTTCTAAAATGGCTCCTGGTTCGAAGATGTTGCAGATCATTGCTGAAACTTTCAATATGGCAAGAGGCAAATGCATTGAACTTTAATTATGTACAAGATTTTAAAACGAGATGGCAGCTGACCAATAATCCTTCTCATACTACCCCTGCGAGAATTAGACCCTCACTATGAATGAAGAAAGTGTAAATTTTAGGCTTGTGCGAATATTCGAATGCTTCAGATATTCGAACGAATAGTTGAGTATTCGAATTCGCTTCGATTTGAATTTAACAAATTATCAAATATTTTCGAAGTATTCGCAATGAACGAATAGGTGTATATTAGACCACATCGTTTCACAGGAATGTAGATGTGCTAAGCCGAGAAAACACCTAGTCAGAAAAAATTCGCTTTGCCGCGAAGCCCTTTTCAAATTTAAGGGGACCCTGCAACACTTACTGAGCATGGTCAGAAAATGCTGCCGATCGGTAGTCGATGCTACGGAGAACACGCGAGGCAAATATTATAGCGTAGCACGCGGCCTGTAATTAACAATAAATTTTCAAAGCTAAAAACTGCTTTCATTCCTTGGAAAATGACACTATGAGCTCAAAAATCACTTGTCACCCCTGGTGAAAATTTCCTGCTGGTTTATTAGCACATTCCCAGTAGCTAATGGAACCAGCAGGTGATGAGTCCGTTTAGGTATATGCATTTGTTGTAGCAGACATCATACAAGAGACAGATGAGGGTGTCTTGGAAACTTCAGCTGAAATGGTCATAGTGTTGCCCTTTTACAGTATTAGAAGAAAAGATTAGTATGGAAAGCTTGAAATGACAGAAAACAATGATGCTATAATTAAAAGAACCCTGAAACACTTCTTGACCATAACCAGAAAACGCTGCCAATCGGTAGTCGAGGCTTCTGAAAATAAGTGAGCCAAACATAATATAGCACAGTTAGCAACTTGGAATTCACAATTTACAAAGTCAGCTAGAAATCACTTTCTCTTCTCTCGACAAATAATATTGATGCCACATACCCAAAATCCACAGCAATCAGGGTCAGTGCCAGCAGAGTGCGCTGTCCCTGATAGCACCACCCTGTTTCCACTTAAGAGCAAGCACAGTGAAAACACAATGCACAAGTTCGCCACTACCCCCAAAAGAACCCAGTTCAGTAAAAAAAAATCCGGGTGTTATCCTTGACGGCCATTGGCTGATTTGAGCATTGTGAGCTGCACAGTTACCGGGGCTGCCATGGGAGGCCACCACATGCCCGTGTGCCCGATCACACTGAAAGTAAGGCACATGTTCAAAGAAAAAAAGCATCCTCAAGGTCATGTGTGCTCAAGATACACGCTGACGAATGATCATAGCTTCTTGCACCCTTTTCACCTCTCCTCTGCAGAGCATTCAGTGCGCTCGCTGGTATGAAAGGAAAAAGAAAACACTTGAAGTGTGCAATTAATCCCTAAAACTCCGCTCAAACTAGCCAATTTCTAAAAACTTTTGTAGCAGTCAATTCTTGAAGCAATGAATTCTTTTAATTAAGCAATTCCATGATTACTCTAAAAATTGTTCCTTGGCTCCTTTAAAATTGTATTATGCAACCAAAACCCTTTTATATGTGATGTATTGACAATGTCTTCGATATTGGCAGGTCTCTCCTCATCCAGAAATCAATTTATTTATTTGAAACAATTTTTCCAAATTATTTTCTAAGAACAAACAGACTGACAAGGCAATTGCAAAAGCTAGCAATGCTGCACTTAATATGCAGGAATTTCAAACAGGCGATGTACTTAACATTTTTTCCAAGTCAGGTCAATACTTGATTACGCATGTGTAATACGAGATTCCCACCAAGAATATCATATAAATAGACTACAAAATATTTAGAAACAAGTGGCAAAACTTCTTTTCAAGGATTACCGCCCCCACTTCAGCATTTCTGAATTGAAGGGGATAGGATCAGTTCAGTGTATGTAGACAGAAACTAAGACCCATACCATTCCACTGATTATACAACTTCAAGATAGATATTTATCATCTTAACTACATTGTCGACTGTACTACACATCCACTCGCTATGATAACAGCAAAAATATTTTTACCTACAATACAAGACTGAAATAGTTTAATAGATGACTTCATAAAGATAAAAGATAATCATTTATTTTTTTCTATGTTGTGAAATAACTCTTGAACAAACAAACTTAAGTACTAAGTGCCTGATCATTATTTGATGAACTACATGTTTTATTTTCATAATGTTACAGTGATCTTTTTATAAGTGTCTTATATATGTAAAACACTTTCTTTTTTACAAGCTATGTTCTTATGCCCCAACCTTATATAATGCCTCAATGGCAATGGAGGTAATCTGTAAAATAAATGAAAAAACCATCAAATTTTTTGAAAATAAACAAATGTACTCAACCTTTCCTAGGTTAATTTCTTACATTTTGAAGATTTTTAACCGCCGCTGACATATCTGTGTATTGTTTTAGCTAAATATTTTGAAGTAAAACATTACAAAGCTGTGTACACTTACCCGATTTAATCCTGGCTTCTGTCTGAATGACATGCGGCTTATCAAGAAATATCAGGCGCCTCACAACTATGCCTTTTGGCAAAGTAACATCTTCAACAACATAGTGACCACTTATTACACTACATCCTCGGTGCCGAATCTGACGGTTGCCCACATCTTCACCTGTTGTCATGAATGGAACCTTCAAAAACAAACAAAAAGATAAATCATTGCACGCTTAATAACCAATGTACAACAAATTGCCCCCCCCCCCCCCAAATGCAATCAAGCCTCAATTTCATGACCTTCAATGTCACAATGTATTTAACTCTTCATAATTTTTGTGAAACTCCTCAAACATATTTGTGCTCCCCTACTTTAGAACATCTGACTTGAAAGATTACAAAAATTGCAACAACTTTATGCATATTTTCATTGGCCAGATCACAGGCTTTGCCAGATCACTGGCTTTAAGATCTATCCTAATGAGAAAAAAAAAAAGGACATTTTAATCTGATTTTCGAAGTCCAATTTTTCTGCTTCTCAGCATCTATATGGCAGGCACTTTGTGTATAACGAGCACAGTCTAAGAATACGTACTTCAGGGTGCAGTAAAAGAAAGGATATACACTCAAACCTCGACATAACGAACCCAGATATAACCAAATATTGATTATAACGACGTCATTAAGGAACAGTCATGTTAGAAATAAACCTTTATAACAAATTTTTGGATACAACACACTTGTGTAAGATGCAACTTTGTTATAATGAGGTTTGAGTGCATATAATGAGAGCAAACAAGGCTCTTCTGGCTCCAATAGCTCATGATGGAGGAGGACGCATATTAACAAAAAATTTATGATTAGCCAAATTTCAAACCTTTGGCTCAAAAATAGAGTACTGCTAAATGATACATTTGTGGCTACACAATCTGCACAGAATTCCACGCAGCCTACTCCTCCTCGCTATCACTTAGCTCGGCATGACATGGCTGTAAAATGCACTTCTTTGGATAAGCCACAGCGCGACCTCAGCATTACCCGAGGTATACGTCACTGGTGGATGTTACAAATCCAGGCTTCAAGCTAGCGAGATCATCCTTGCTCCGCAACCTCCGACGAGCATAGCGTCGGAATGCTCACCCAATGCTGCTGCTATAGTTGAATAAGCAGTTGTGTTTTCATGTTGGGATTCGCTCTTCCGTCAATACGGCAGCTCACAGATTTACACCTTCCCTTCATTTTCTGTTTAAAGAGATTCTACTGTGAACAAAATTAAAAACATCTCAAGTGTGCACATGCAATGATTATTGAGTATTCAACTGCCGAACCTGATTGATTGATATGTGGGGTTTAACGACCCAAAACCACCATATGATTGAGACGCCGTAGTGGAGGGCTCCGGAAATTTCGACCACATGGGGTTCCTTAACGTGCACCCAAATCGGAGCACACGGGCCTACAACATTTTCGCCTCCATCAGAAAAGCAGCCGCCGCAGCCGGGATTCGAACCCGGGACGTGCGGGTCAGCAGCCGAGTACCTTAGCCACTAGACCACTGAGGCGGGGCATCAACTGCCGAACCTGTCATGATTTGTAATGAAGGCAAAGCTGGCGCTTTGTTGTGGCAAAATTTATGGGAATGTGGAGCGCCTCGCTCCCCAGCTTCTACGTGCACCAAGAGCATGAGCACAGTAGTTTTGCTGCCAGGTCTTTTCGTCTGGCACAAGCCATGTGTTGGTTTTTCCCTATGCAGCGAAGCGTGTCCAAAAATGCCCGGACGAAGTGCCTCCCCCTTACATCAAGCTAGCACACATCATGGTGCTCAGCCGATCCTCATTGGCCGCCCATGACAGCCCCTCCCCCTGTAGCTTGCGTTCAGCGGGGCAGATGCACACAGGTTTGCACGAGATAGACGAGCTAATCTAGCAAGCGGCTTCTTGTACGTGGGCTTGGCTGCTGCCTTCTGTGTGATAGCCCTAGCGCCTGCCGGAAAGGGTACACTCGGTTGGTCTTGCCGAGTTCCCTGCCGGCTTCAAGCCCGAGATTGTCGCACTGTGCTGTATCTTAGGTAAATAAACTCGTGTTTGTTGACGACCTACCTCGAGTGCAGTCTCTGCGCCGTGTCCAAAAATTGAAGAACTCAACTGTATAGCATATCTATGCGCAACGGCAGTGGAGATTCTCGCATCCCTTCTCGGTCGCTTCGTAAGGTAAGCCTTTAGCAAACCTATCTCCACAAGTTCATTTCTCTCTTTAGAAGATTTTTCTTCAGAAAACTAAGCGAACTTTGCTAAACATCAGAACTGTCAAAAAACCATGCTTGGATGATCATGCAGTCAAACAGCAAAAGTTTAGCAGCAGAGCTGACACAGCATAGGTACTGGACTTGAACAAAACATCTATTGAAGGCACGCTGTAGAAGAAGCAAGTGGTGTGTATGACATGGACATTTCATTTTTAAGTAACACATGCATATGACAGATCTATCCTATGTAAGCATCAAGCTGCTTGAATGCAAGTTTTAGAGTTTAGAGTTTAGTTTATGTTACCACGTACAGTTGTACAGTAAGTGGCTGGGACAGAAGAAAAAAGCTTATAAAACAGCTTGACAATGCCCCACATCCCCATGGTAACTGTAGAAACAATATGGCAGAAGCAAAGTAAACACAGGACAGTTTAAACCAGCAATGCATATGCTTTGCACGGGAACAAAAAGTTATGCAAACTTATACAAACCAGAAACGCACATGCTAAACATTGAAAGAAAGAAGTATACAAACAAAAAATAATACTACACACAAATTAATAAAGCATATTTAAAATAGAAATGGTAGAAAGCAAACAAACATTTTCACAATTAATTCCTAATTTATTTAGTGTATTCGGCAAGCAATAGCGCAATGTCTGAAAACTAATTTGTACGTGGTCTCGGCACATGCCAATATTCAGAGTGTCGGTTTAGGCGCGTCAAATATGTTATTCGACGTGCGAAGTGCATATATTATTCACAAGCAGGAAAACCAGATTGTTCACCAGTCACAAAACAATGCTTTTGCACTTTTTAAGAAGGCTTGATAAAAAAAAATTCATTCTTCATGAAGTCGTGGATTTCTTTTATAAGGCACCCACACAGACTCACGAATTGAAAGTTATCTTGCTATGGCTCTTAAGTTCTGGAAGCAACTTATACAAACAGGCTGAAGCATCTACCGTTTCTAAAAAAGAAAAAAATGTATACCATCTGCCCTGGTACGTATGAAGCCGGGGCAAGCTCCATGACCTTAGAGGATAGCTCCTTCTTGACTTGATCCAGGCACAGGTAATTTTGTTCCCGACATAAATGAACTACAATCACACGTTCAGCTTGGCATTCTTCAGTCAGCTGCTCCCGGCCCTCTGGAGTGCTGAACATCCACTCTGATTCCCTGCAAACCAGTGATCATGCCTCTAAACCAGGTCTGCACATGTCTGTAATACCCTTGTCACACGAGACGGTCTAATGTCCTTTGCACCCAATGAAATTCAAGTTTAAATAGATTAGCCGGCTGCCACACACGGAAGTCTAGTCTAGTATCATCAACAGAAAATGACTTAAGCAAATGAATGAGTTAGCTGAAGTCATTTGAATACGTTTTCACCATGTTTTTGTCATAATAAATACTCTTACTGAAGTGGGGCCACGAATAAATTATATATCAATTGTCAATAACTCATAACACGTATTAATCTGTTCATAAGTAGAAGTGGGCTTTGGTCTTTTGGAGCAGCTCTTGAGCACCGAAACGCATGTTGTGGAGCATCAAAATTTAGTTTTGAAGCATATTTCTTGGGTCACACATCACTGTTGATTAGACATTTCGTTTTTCTTTGCTTTCTCATGAACACGAAAAAACTCAGTGGTTTTCACTAACCATTTAAGGCTGATCAAGTGACCTGACTTACCCCACATTGATATATATATATATATATATATATATATCAATTATACCTTACAACATTAAACTTGAAAGCACAGTAACTTAAAGAAAAAACATAAGTGACGCTCAGAACAGCTATCCAGCTATACTCAGACGAATAAAAAAATTTATTGTTAAAATGTTGCAATGTTCAAAAATGTGATTAAAACCCGGCATATAACATAAACAGCATTTCAAAACTAGAGATGAAGTAATATAATAAAAGCTATCTTCATACTAAACTGATAGGGCTCTATAAAAATAAATGTAAAAAACTTATGTTCCGGTCATTAAAGTGCCACAGCCGATATGAGAACCGCGAAGAAATTTAGATGGCCACGCCGTGCCACTGCTAGGCAATGAAGTGATTTCTTTAAATTAGGATAGGGACTACATGGGCACTTGATGGGTTTTCACCGTTGCCGCCATGTTTCGCGTAAACTACAAGTTGGTAACATTCATGAGAACTGCGAAGAAATTTAGATGGGCTTGCCGTGCAACTGCTAGGCAATGCAGTGATTTTTTTTAAATAGGATAGGAACTACATGGGCACTTGACGGGTTTTCACCGTTGCCGCCATGTTTCGCGTAAACTACAAGTTGGTAACATTCCCCACATATACGTTCTACCCACGCGCAAAATTGTGCAAGCTGGGGTGGTGAGCGCTGCACAAACAGAGATTAAACGAGGCGGCCGATCTCCGTCGCTTGGAGGGCGCACGCTATACTACTATCCCACCGCATGTTAGACATGCTGTCAAATGCTCAAGCAAAGAGGAAACACACCACCAGTCTTGAACAAGCATGAAAAAATACGCGGAGGAAAGGGGGGTGACAGGTCGCTCGAGCAGCAGCGGTGAACTTTGATTCTAAGGGCGTGGTTGTGATAAGCTGGTGCGCGCGGTATCGGCAAGCATCAGCGCGCAGCTCGTAAACCGTTCTACATGGTGCGCTCTCAACGGAAAGAAATTGTACGATAAGAGCATTTCTCCCTGGAGCAGCCGTACATCCTTTCTTACACCAGTGTTTTGCAGAGTGTCGCGACGTCAAATTCAAAAGCATTAGCTTCCAACCTTCATATTGTCACGAGGTCATGAGATTGACGAAAGCAGCAGCCGCTGTTTTCACGAGTGAACCTTATTTGGGCGAACCTTTGCCGGAAAACAAAACGTCACTCTACGAACAATACAATCCGCAGACTGATAGCTGCAAATTAGAGCGTCGGCCGTCGATAATCTGCCAAGCAGCAAAATGCGTCGGCATTTATACATGCGCCATCAAAGATTCCCGCGTTATCACTAGCGGCTGCGTAAGTTCAGAACGAACTCTAATGTACGCGTTGTGCGCATAATCTCATCGGAAGGTTCTAAGATTACCTAGATTGCTCCCAGTCATTCGGGAGCGGACTGTGCAAGGCAGCGTTACACGCGTAATGGTGCGGTAGTAAAAATAGAAAGCGCGTGAGGCATTACCATTACAAATTTTTGCTATTGCAGTCATCACTTCACCGGTGAAACCGATTTTTATTGTTTTCAGTTTATAAGGTTTGGCTAACAGCTTTGCTGTTAGCCAAACATATATTGAGTCGCATAATGAGGTATGCACAGAAACACCACTTTAACAAGATTCAAGCATGAACTGAAATACTATGTCACAGAACTAATTTGATATAGAAGCGGTTGCACCTTTTGTGTAGTTCATGCGCGTTGCTCGCTTGATGATAAAACTCAGCTAAATTTGGCACTGCACACACAAATTGCCGTTCAGGAGCAGCTTGGCACAGCGGGTCAGATTGTCGCAGAATGGCGCAAATGGCGCAAATGGCGCAGTACTTCCACCCCTGCCTGTTCCCACTTTCAAGCATTATAGAATTTTTTTTTTTTTTTTTGAACAACTTGACTCAAAATGCTTCAATACCCCAATTCCCAGTAACACTGTAAGAACGGTGCACTGCTGCTGACCATGTTGGCTATGTGCTCTCAGCTTGCTGTAGCTGTCGGAATTGCCAGTGTGTAGCCTGCATATCCCTCTGCCTTATAGCATCAATGCACCTTATAACAAAGGAAAAATATGCTGTGACAATGCTTCTGACCCAGTCGCCAAAAAAAGTTGCAGTATCACACTCCACCATGTCAGCCATATTACACGTTGACCAAAACATTGGTTCCCATTTTGCCTCGACTTTGAATGTATTAGCTTTATTTGGATATTTAGAAAACCGCATATTAACATTCCATACTGTTCCATGCTGTTCTGGTGAAAACAATTTTTACAACACAATATAAATCAAACCTCGATATAACAAACACATATACAACGAATTATTGGTTATAATGAAGGTAATGAAGAACAGTCTTGTAATGAATACATGCAGTGTTATGAATGCTTTGATTACATATAATAAAATTTTGGATATAACAAAGTTTATTCCATGCATATGTGACTTTGTTATACGAGGTTTGAGTGTAAATACTATAATACACGTTTTTACACACGCTGCTACTTTTTTGTTCATTCCTGCTTTCAGTGCATCGCGATTGCCATCACCGGAAAATGACATATCTTGGTGTGTAGCAGCAAACGGCACCTAATGTCATTCGATGTATGAATTGTCATTAGATCACAATTACATTTTCGTGTGACGGGTAAAAAAGTATCATGCCTGTAGCGGGTACACTAGAGTATTGTGCATGCTTCCTACAAGACCTCGGGCAACACCAGTAAATGGACCTTTGCGAATAGCAAAATTTTCAGTTTGAGGTGGATTCAAATAATAACGCTTGATTGCAAATTCAAATAAATATTTTTTATATATTTTTCTAATAATTTCAAACAAAATTGCAAAAAAAATGCAGAGAATCCGAAAACATATCATTACGACACAAGAACAATCACAGGCCACAAACCAAGTTGAAAAATGAATTTATTTCTTAAGGTGAATGTGGCTTTATGATATTGAAAATCAACAAAAAAAATATATTGTAAGACGGCGTCCAGTATCCTCAAGGCTCTTGTTTATTGTCTCGAGTATGTTCCCATTAAGTATAGCACTCCGAGACATTGTTCTCTAGCTTGAACTGCCATAGCTGACGACGTAGCCTGGCATTAGGTGGAGAAGGCGAGCCGTGCAAGTATCCGATGATGCGGTTACAGTAGGGGTCGTCACGTTGGCACGTGGCAAACTGAGCGCTGCTGTTTAAAGATGGTGACCCAGCAACTGCCAGGGGTGATAACGTGAGTGAAGAGGAAGCCGCTTGATCACCTGAGGGGCATTGAGGATGTGTGGGAGATGAAAGTGGCAGAGGGTAGTGAGAGAAAACATCGGCACCCTGATGCTGTTTGCCAGACATGTACACAACGTCAAAAGTGTACTCTTGCAAACGAAGTACCAGCGACCGAGGCGCCCAGACAAATTCTTCAGCAAAACAACCAGCATAGGGCATGGTGGTCGGTAAACACAGTGAAGTGACATCCATACAGATAAGGTAAAAATTTCTGGATGGCCCAAACGACAGCGAGACATTCCTGCTCTGTTATCGAGTAGTTCTGCTCCTCAGGTGTTCGTGCGCGGCTGGCATACACAACTACTCGCTCACAAGAAGTGTTGTCGTGTTAGAGGAGGACAGCACCGATGCCGTGGCCGCTGGCATCTGTGTGCAGGAAAGTGCGTGCACTCTCATCGAAGCGACGAAGAACGGGGTCTGATGCTTCGGGGTCTGATGAAGCACGCTAAAGGGCTTGGAAAGCACACACACACACTCGTCAGTCCAAGTGAAGGCCGTTCCTGGACATCATCTATGCCCAGGAACAGCCTTCACTTCAAGGAGTTCAGGGCATGATCTATGCGTGGCAACGAATATACATCTTTTTTCGTGATCTTATTGAGCACTCTGTAATCAACACAAAAGCGGACAGAGCCATCCTTTTTCTGGACCAACACCACAGGAGACGACAAAGAGCTGGATGAAGGTCGAATAATATCCCGTTTGAGCATGTCGGTGACTTTTTCCTCAATGATTTGCCATTCTGCCGAAGACAGACGGTATGGGCGGCGGGGTACAATGGAGCTGCCTTTGGTTTCGATGCTGTGCACTGCAACTTTGGAATGTACGTCAAACGAAAGGCTGTGCTTTTAGAGGTCTAAGAGGTCTCTCTTTTGCTCGGCAGTGAGGTGAGGACTTATGGCAGCATTTAAAGCAACAGTGGTAGCGTTGATATCAGTTTTAGCAGACAAATGCGGTGATTCTGCGTGAAGGGAAACCAGCGAAAAAGGCTCGCTGTCAGCGAAGCAGCTCACAGCAGTGCCCTGGGGCAGCATCACTGGCGAAAAAGTTGGGTTCAAGGCGGTGACCAATGCTTTACCGTCGTTAAACCGCACAAGGCCGGGTGCAATGGTCACCCCGCAGGTTTGGAGCGAACTGATGGAGCTATGAACATGTCACCGTTAATTATAGTATCCGAAGCGACCGT